TCTTTGAAAAGCTGGTGTGAAAAGGATGAAAGTCCGGCATGCGGAACTTGAAACTGCCGAGCACGAAAGTTTCAGTTAGACATGCCTGCACTAAAGCCGGTGTTCTCTAGAGAATTCGTCCAGGAGTGTTTCTTGATGTTTCGTATAACATCCTGTGAGTGATGTTAAATTCGATCGTGTAATATACGTAGCTCAGTGTGAGCTTTAATTTTCTCACTTTCTTCCGCAAAAGAATTATCCGACAGTATACATGTTTATTAAAAAGTCAAATGTAAGGTTCTTGTAACGCGACGTTCCAATTTTTGAAATGTAACTGTAACGAGTTCCTTTCGTACTTTAGGAACTTGTAACGGGAACTTGTTCCAGAGTTGGGGAGCAACGAAGAACAAGCCTTTGGTTACTGTTTCAGGGGAACGTGTACAACAACGCAATGGAAAGACGACATGCGAAGTCCCTGCGCTGCATTGACGGTGATCGAGGTCTCGACGGCGAGCGACCGCGGCCCTCGTGCGACTCGGACCGCCCGTCAGACTCGGACGACCGATCGACCACCTTCGGAGATGACTCGGACGACGGATCGACCACCTTCGGAGATGACTCGGACGATGGATCAGCCACCTTCGGAGATGACTCGGACGACGGATCTGCCGCCTTCGGAGATGACTCGGACGACGAATCTACCGCCTTCGAAGATGACTCGGACGACGAATCCACCACCTTCGGAGATGAAGTCGAGACATCACGACTAGCCACGTCTCCTCCCGCCACTCAACGTGGTATGTGCGTCTCTCTATCTTTCTTTCTTTCTTTCTTCTCTTATTTCTTTCTCGCATTACACTTCTGCACTCTTGTGGTGAGTGTGTAGCATGCGTATATTATATAATTGGTATCGGTGTAGCAAGCATGTAATATTATCTTTAGTTTCTTTTTCGTGGCGAGGGGCGGAGGAGAAAATTCGCGCACTGCATATGTGATGTAAAAATAAACACAGTGGGCCATCAAGAAGAGTGCGGGCAGATAACAAGAAATAAAAGACAGACGCTCAGCAGGGCGATAATCCGGATGGCTGTTCTGTACATTCGGAATGGGCAAAAGACACCAAATAAAAATGCATGCAATCCTCTACGGGGTAGGTAATGCAGTGATGGGTTAGAGAACTTGTTGTTCCTCATCTGCAGACAAGTTCTCCTCATTACATGTTTTTGTTCCTATCTTTTCTTTTCCGCGATTAGGTGAGCTCGTCGGCTCGCCTCAATCATGCCCCTTGCCAGCGCCACTGTCTGGCGTGAAGCGCAAACTGTTTGACTCGGAAGAGAGCCCGGAGAAAATGTCGCCGGCCTTCAAGAAGTTCAAGACGCGACTACTGGAGCGATACATGAGCGAAAATCACCCTCGAGACTCGCCGCCACGCGAAACAGAGTCCGCCGACCAGACACCGAGCAAGCAGTAGCGACCACCCTTACGAAAATGGGAGACGAGTTCAAACTGGAAGTCTAATGACCTCTGACATACCAGCGAATTGACCATCTGATGTGTGCCTTTAGAATTGTGTACTGTACTTATAATGTCATTCAACACCGTTATGGCCACTATCATCCTAATGCTCACTCCCAAGTGATTCTTTGACATCTGACATCAACACTAGTCATTTGATTCTCTAATGTGTTCCTTCAGAATTTTTAATGTACTCATAATGTCATTCAAAAACATATTGGCCACTGTCATTCTAATGCTCACTCACAAGTGATTGTATGACCTCTGACATCAACACTAGTCATTTGATTCTCTAATGTGTTCCTTCAGAATTTTTAATGTACTCATACTGTCAATCAAAAACATATTGGCCACTGTCATTCTAATGCTCACTCACAAGTGATTATATGACCTCTGACATCAACGTTAGTCATTTGATTCTCTAATGTATTCCTTCAGAATTTTTGAATGTACTCATAATGTCATTCAAAAACATATTGGCCACTGTCATTTTAATGCTCACTCACAAGTGATTGTATGACCTCTGACATCAACACTAGTCATTTTATTCTCTAATCTATTCCTTCAGAATTTTTTAATGTACTCGTAATGTCATGCAAAAGTATATTGGCCACCGTCATTCTAATGCTCACTCACAAGTGATTGTATGACCTCTGACATCAACACTAGTCATTTTATTCTCTAATCTATTCCTGCAGAATTTTTTAATGTACTCGTAATGTCATTCAAAAGTATATTGGTCACCGTCATTCTAATGCTCACTCACAAGTGATTGTATGACCTCTGACATCAACGCTAGTCATTTGATTCTCTAACATGTTCCTTCAGAATTTTTTAACGCACTCATAATGTCCTTCAAAAGCATATTGGCCACCGTCATTCTAATGCTCACTCACAAGTGATTGTATGACCTCTGACATCAACACTAGTCATTTGATTCTCTAATGTATTCCTTCAGAATTTCTTTAATGTACTCATAATGTCATTCAAAAACATATTGGCCACTGTCATTCTAATGCTCACTCACAAGTGATTGCTTGACCTCTGACATCAACACTAGTCATTCGATTTTCTATGTATTCCTTCAGAATTTTTTAATGTACTCATGATTTCATTGAAAAACATATTGGCCGCTGTCATTCTAATGCTCATTCACAAGTGATTGTATGACCTCTAACATCAACACTAGTCATTTGATTCTCTATGTATTCCTTCAGAATTTCTTAATGTACTCATAATGTCTTTTGAAAACATTTTGGCCACCGTCATTCTCTTGAGTCCTTATGAGTGAATATTCAAGTGGCTTTCTAGTGAGCATGAAATGTCTTGTTTGCAACGACCCTCGGCCAAGCTTGTGCATTACGGCCAACGATATGGGTAACACTCCTGAAACAGAACTATTATATTGCATGAAAACATTTGTGATATGTCGGAACGATAGTACAAGATCACATATTAATAGTTCCTGATTGTGTGTTTGTTTGTTGATAACTGTGCAGACGAGCGTCGTACAAAAGTGCGCGCATGCACCTTCTGCAATACTCGTACTGTACAAAGATATTTCTCAATGAAAGTACCTGAATAAAACCATTTATTCACAAAAAAAAAAAAACGTGCAGAGGCTAAATGAAGGTAAAAAAATGTTGCACACCTGTGATATTTTCCTTTCATTTAATCTCGCTTAGAATTGATGGCAGATTGCTTTTGTTGCGCAGGGTACTTCAAGGGAATCTATGTATGTGTGTCCATGCATGTCTGTTCTGCATAAAAGATTAGAGTAAAATATGAGTTAAAACGAAAACCCAAGAAATGCTGCAGTATTTTATTTTATCCCAGACATCACGCATTTTGAACAGTTAGATGTACTGCCATAGGCTTGCCTAGGTAGCTTCAAACATGTTTGTGCAGTTGTAGTTGGTCAAAATTAAACCTCATATTACATGTTCAATCAAAACTTTCAGCAATATTTTTTTCAGAAAACTGGCAGCAACAAGCAAAGAAGTCCTAGTCCAACACTGGGCACATGGGGAGCTGAGTTATGGCTACGTCCTGATTGTTTTTTTTACTTGGGATGTCTTCATTAAAAGAGCTAGAATACGTTCCTAACATGTCTAAGTTGTTTGTAAATATTGAAACTAATGTCTACCGTGCAATATAGACTTGTTCAGGCTTGCGGGCAGAACATTCCCATCTCCAGCAAGTTGTACTGGGCATCGGTGCCATGAACCCGTGAGATCACTAGATAAAAAAAAATATTCTTGAGTTCATTCACCACGGAGGCATTACAGCACACAACAAGGAAAGCTGGGAAGTCTTAGTTGGTTTACTCACAAAGGCCTTGAATGGTGGGCTCAGATTACACTGTGAACAGGTATTAATAGAGCGCCAGCTTATTGCAGACAACTGTAATGGCGCCATTCCACACTTAACTTCAGCAAACTTATAGTGGTACTGACACAAAAATTTTGGCCTCACTTTTTTCTGCTGCAATGTGTTTCTGGGGGCCTGTTAGTCACGACACGATGCATAGTTTGCTGCAGCCCGAGACTTATAGTTAATTACAGGCCCCTCATGATCGACCAGTTTTGGTTTGAAAGAGCTCTGAAAACGATAAGCCGCCGTGTGCAGCTATATCGCCACCTAGAGTGCAGTTCTTGACCACGTCAGCACACAGAACTGTGACACACTTCCGCACGCTCCGCATCAAGAATTATACTTTCGAATAGGAAACGGGAGTGTCGCCAAACACAAAACCTCTAAAGCGTGCGCCACGGCCACTAACACGCAACCAGCCGCCGAGAAGTACAAACTGCGGGAACAAACGCGGCAAAAGAAGGCGGCTATGATGTCATCATAACTTGTTTTATTGGCGGCAGCGTGGTGACGGGAGGGAAGTAGGGGGTCCCCAAAGGGCCCCCTTCGAGGGTGTCAATGGCACGATGGTGTGGAGGGCTTACGCAAACATTCAAAATTAATTTTAAATACCTCCCAAACTATATCCGCTGTTGATATTTTGCAGATGATATACGAATGTTCACGAGAATCGATACCGCAGGCTATCTTGGCCCCGACATGTGTCAGTACTCCTTTATGTACTTACTAAACACTAAGTAAAGAACGCAGATCGCCATATAGGTTATTTAAGTGAAGAAAAATACAACAGCACTGCTAAGCGGGGTCTAATGCACAAACGAAAAAAAAATAGAGAGAGAGAGACTGTGTGGCCCATGTGCACACTCCACTATGCTGAGTATTACTTATCTTATACCATATCACGAATTTGAGCCATGGCCTTGAAGCTGTCCGATTCTGAGTCATGACACCACGTATTCCTCCTCCCCCCTCCCCTAACGCACACGCATTTCGGTCGAACTCTAAAGAAAGGCTTTCCAATGGATGCAGATGCTTTATGCGAGGCTAAATTCAGTAAGACAGGTCTTGGCGGAGGCGTCCGAACGGTTCCCTTCAGGTTGGTGGGTGAAAGTAGGGTGCCTGAATGGTTTCCCTCGCCCGCCGCTCCTTGCAGGGTGGGGACATTGTTTGACGGGGTGCTCGCCGCCGCGACCGGTTTTTCCTGACGGCCGCCGCCATTGCAGATCTCACTTCGCATAGCGACGGGAGCAAAGAAGGAGCTGTGGCCGCTCTGTCATATACTTTTTTAGGGAAATGACTGGGTGCTGCGTGCCCATGTGCACGAACAACTCCAGAAATGGTTGGAAACTCTACCATTTTCCGACAGAGCCCAAAAGAAGGCTGCTATGGATGGTGAAGATTAAGCGAGACAAGTGGCAGCCTACGAAGTCCTCGTGTGTATGCAGTGTGAGTATCCCGACATGTGTTCTTTTCTCGTCGAGAACTTTGAAACTTGTTTTTTTAAATGTGTATACGTGTCTGTGGGTCACTTTGTCGGTGCTGTAAACGCTTCACGTCTAAGTTGCAGTTTTTCTCTCTTTTTTTGCGATCTCTAAAAGTGCAGCTATGGAAACGTGTGGCGCAGCCGCAGTATTTGAAGTTTGTACCAGTTTTTAGTCACTATATGTATAAACAAAATAGGCTGCTTGTTATTAAATTGCGTATTTACAGAAAAGTGTTTTTCATTCGTTTATTGCAAATCACGAAATTCAATAAAAGTTGTGTGGTATACTGTGTCTTTCTAGTAATTCTGTCTAGGCTAAGCTAAGCTAAAATTCATGGTTCATAACGGACTTACAGGCACATTTTGAAGCAAGCCATTTCGAGCAGCACCGAGCTGACCAGTGGATAAAACTGAAGCCGAACGCTGTGCCAACGGTGTTCCCTTTCAGGGGTAAGTTACTGTTTCACTGTGCGTCAAAGATTCTGTATGAACCTAACAGGTGGCAACAGTACAAGGCTAAAATGATTTAGTTTCAAAAATTAGGATGATCCGTGGAATTCCTCGTTTGAGGATATTAAGAAAGTCGGGGTACGTGCCTGCGACCTGAGAAAAGGCATATGTCTGCAACCTATAATACTGCTAAAATCCAGTACAGGCCTGTGATTAGAGCTGGCTACCTTGTAATACTTGCAGCTTGTGACTGTCCTTTTTTGCACTGCAGGCTTGCCTCCACAAAGGAAGGCGCCAAAGGACAGGGCAGGACCTGCTGTGTTGCCTGATGCATGCCAAGAAACACGCGGTGACAACTCTACGGCCATTAATTGTACGCCACTCACAAGTGCACAGGCGAATTTAAATTCACGCACAGACAGTCTTGGCGCACAGCAACCGCAAAGCTGCAATTCTCAGACGCCTGATTCAGTACCGCACATTATGGAAAGGGAAGAAGTTGTGATCTCGGCCGATGCACCTGACGGGGCACGTGAAAACAAGCAGTTAAATAAGCAGCTCTCTGATATGGGCAGAAAATACACTCAGCTACATCAAGTCCATCGGAAAGCCACCTCAACCATTCAAGCACTAAAAAAACAGGTGAAAAAATTGGAAACCAAAATGGAATTATTCGGACAGCGTTTGAAATTCCTCAATGATGACCAGCTGCAGGCTCTTGGGCGCCAGAGTAATAAGGGAAGCACTTGGTCTGCAGAAACAATCAAGCAGGCGCTTCAGATTAAGTTTTCCTGTGGAAAAACTGGTTACCAGACACTAAGAAATCTGGGCTACCCCTTGCCATCCGGAAAAACCCTTGCACGTCGCCTTCAGGGCCTCAAGTTTCTTCCCGGAATTTTGACGGAAGTCATCGATGTTCTCAAAATCAAAGCAGAGAACATGCAAGACATTGAAAAAGACTGTGCTTTGTTCTTGGATGAAATGGAGATTGCTCGCAATGAATTTTGTTCATTGAAGAACTTCAAGAAAACGAATGCAACATCCTTTTCTACATCGGCGGCTTCCTTTTAAAAGGTATGCTGAGTGTTGTAGCGGGATGCGGGCATTGTAATTCTGCCTTGTTAGGCTCAACTGAAAGCGAGCACGCAACTCTGACTATTCTGAAGGAGTACAGGAGTGAAGGTGGCAACCTCACATATCCCAGCAAGGATGTTTTGCTGACACTCAAGTCGTGTGAAGAGCATTTCAGGGGCATCATAAGTTGGAGTGAGGGCTTGCTGCGCTTAAGGTCCCCGTTGAAGGCCGTGACCGATTATTTGAACGAGATGGTGCGCCCTTGCGTAAAGACTTGCTCCGAGCACAGTGACGCCGTAGCAAAACTCCTTATTGCGAATTATGCAAGACTGAGGCTTCGCGTGCATTTGCGCCACGTTAGTTCAAACGGCGTCAATGAACACGGAAGCAAGACGTGCGCTGGGGTAAGCCTTCCGTGACCAGCCGAACTGGACCAGTCACTTATAAATTTTATTATTTTTTCTTTCAGAACACTTATTGTTTGATTAAAATATTTTGAGTTCATTGTGAACTGGCTAACCTCCCTGTCCTTTCTTCATCCTCCTCCTTAAGTTCATAGACATTTTTCTTATTTGTTATACAATATCACATTCTTAGATAAAAACAGCGTTGTGATCTTTAAGCTGACTAAGGTTGTGATCTTTGGAGAATGTTTATGGTAAGTTAATATTATTGCGGTCGAAGCAATACCGACACAGCGTCACAGAGGCAGAATACGAGAGTGATACTTCTCGGATAATTAGATTGCTCGCTTACATATATCTATGGAAAGTAGAAAAACTGAACAGGTATAGGGCATCAAAATCGTTATTACTGCATTTCATCTTGTATTTTCCAATAACTTAGTAAGATTTTTTTCTCAGTGGTCACATAAAAACGAGAGATTCAATTGATGTTTACGCTGTTTCACTATCTCAACCAGCTATAACAGAAAAATAGCTGTGTAACAAATCTGAATCTCATTCCCGCAAGATTATTCAGAGCTGCGAGGGCACGCAAGGCGGGGGAAAAAGCAGGATGAAGTAAGTTCAACGCGTACAATGCGAGCACTACTGAGTGGCTGGCACGCTGCACAGCCACTGAGGAGTGCGGTGAGTTTAGGTAACAGGAAAAGGCGTGCGCTTCATGAATTAATGTAGATTTATCCTGCAAACAGTCTCCAATGACAGACGCACATATTCAGACTGCTTTTTTATAGCGCGAAATACCATTTCTCGCACTAAACTCTTCTCAAACTCTCCTCATACGCGCGCGCAGGCAGTGTGTTTCGTTGGGGTGAGATATGTAATGGCGGACGCTCTAGCAGACGACGCGGTTGTCCCCACCCTGTACGGAGCGGCGGGCGAGGGAAACCATTCAGGCACCCTAGGTGAAAGTTTTTCGCAGCGCCCCCACTCGCTATTAAATGAAAGTATCGGCAAGCTTCGCGCCCCACGCCCTCTTAGGAAAGAAGCCCTCCCATGCGCACGCTGTTGCGAAAGACGGCGACACGGTCCCGAAGGCGCCACTGCTCCGATCTCCGCCGACACGGTCACCAGCCGTTTGGTAGCGTAGGTTTCTCAGCTCGCGACTGCTTCTGCGCAGAGCTGATAGACGAGACGACGGTGAGTTAAAGCAAGGTTTATGTACAGCATAGAAATAGAGGCGTTACAAATTCGGCACTGGGGCCGACAGCTTAGAGACTCGAAGAGCCTAGCTCTATTCACTGACACATACGTCTACTGCTCGCGACGCGCCGCAGGGCTTCTTTTTTATATGCACCGAGTGGATTCTTTGAGTAACCAAATGTCCAACCAGAAGCGCCGCTGGCCGTCAGGTCAGAATCCTCCAGTGGGGTCGCCGCTGGGCCGCGTCATTCTCATCAAATCCGGAGCTGCTGCACCCAAGTGACGCCGCCACGCATTGCGTAAGACTCGCCAGACAGGAAGGCGCCGATTGCTTCGACGGGCTCGCTGGCTGAGGTGACTCACTGTACGTTGCGCGACAGACAGGCGCCGCCGCGTGATGACGCCGTTGAGTTGTTCGCGTCAGGCGGGCTCGCGTGCTGGCCTTGACACAGATTGCCTTTTTCAGAGGCATGAACGTTCGGCGTGGACTCGCAGGCATAACAACGCCTATATATGGTTCTTGCAGTGGAACATCAAGGGTCATCGGTTGTCATTATCGTCGAAACCCTTGCCTAGTCATAATAAACCTATATACACCATGACTGGACAGGCCCGAGTGTGTGATAGTTTGAGGCCAACATATCCGGCCCATCGCCCTTGTGCATATTACTATCACGACAGATATTCACAGGAAAGTGATATGTCACTTTTCGTTCTAAGTGGCTCAGCATGACGTGCGCAATAGTTTCACAAAGGACATCCTGCAGTGTCCTAATACAGCAATGCATAAAGTATGAACTTATTTTTAGTTTATTTCTTATTAGATGTACAAGGTGACATCAACGCAGAAAAAATATGCTGCTATGCACTGAGATAATTCAGCTGTATCTGAAAAAAGAAAGTGTTTTCATAAACGCCGTATAAGACGCTGGTACAATGAGAAAAAAGTTCGGTAATCTAGAACAGAAGCAAAGAAGAAAGAGATGGCGTCACGTTGAAGTTCCTACAACAGCAGAGCTTGACATCATGGATATGTCTCCTTCCTGACTCGGCTAGCTTTTATTGTTGAAGATGAACTGCGTCGTACTCCGAAACAACCGTAGACTCAACAATTCATCTCTTAAAAAATGGTTACGTACGGAGCCACAACGACATGAATGAAACAAGGACTCTAAAAAATCTGGGACGTCACGACGTTCAGGCGTTGGTCTTCCGGTGCAAAGCACAACAAATGGGCCTGTTAGGTTGTTTCTTTCCTTCCGTTTCACAGTCATTTTTCCACAAATATAACGAAATATAGCTTCCCAAAACACACACACATTGACAGATCGAACTGATTTCAGTGTTTATTTAAGCCAGCTGAGGTTAAGATAAGGCCATGGCGGTTTTATCAGCGTAGCTGCGTGAGAAACCACCGAGACAAAAAAATAAATAAAATGTCACCGATTCACTCCAGCCACGGCGAGATCTGAAGACGAAACTTGGCGAATTCTAGTGGAGGGCCTTCTGTCACCAGCAGACGGCGCTCTAGCAATCGGCTCTCTGGTGGACGACCTTCCCAGCCTTGACGACCCATTTGATGAGGCTGTGGTGGCAGCCGAAGCGGTACACCAAGTGCTCCCAAGATGGCGCCTCCAGCACCAGCATGTCGGCGCACTTGCCCACCTCGAGCGAGCCGTGCGTCGAGGAGCGGCCCAGAGAAGCGGCGCCGTTGATGGTGGCCGCCACCAGGGACTCTTCGAGGCTCATGCCGCACACCACGCATGCCAGGTACATCACCATGGGCTGCGCCGCGAGTCGAGAACGTCAGGTGCAGTGCAGCTAGAGACGCGAAAGTGCAGGCTTTCCCTGTCGTATCTACCAACCGTAGCGTGTTGTTCTTAAACGAAGCTAATGCAGTGGCGGATGTAGAGAGGGGCGCTAGGGGCGACCGCATCCCCCCCTCCCTAGTGTATGTGTCACCAAACGTTTCTAGACCTAGTCTAGAAACGCTGGTGTTAGCACCCTCCCCCTTCGCCTCAGTGCTTGCAGTCTACCTCCTATGACCAATTAGGACAAATGAGTGAAACCCCTTTAAGGGCATATTAACAGAATACTGATATGAAGGTGTTTTTCTGCTAATAAAAACAAGAAGTCATGACCACGCCCCCCCTCTCCAACTTCAGTTACTTCAGGTGACCACCCCCCCCCCTCTTAAAATGAGTGAGTGGACCCGCTCCTGAGCTAGTTGAGCCAGTCGGTACATCTTCGTATGAGCGCCGCCATCTTGAACTGATAAGCGATTGTTTTGCCGGTTTTCTATGTCGTAATATGAAACGATCGTGGTCATGAAGGGTTAGATGTGCCGGCGCAATCGTTTTCGCGCGTGCGAGATCACCAATCACTGTTTGTTTATTTGATAGTGATACAGAACTGCAACGTTATCCGTCCAAGATGGTGGTGCTTGAGCGCGCCTAGAAAATGGTGTATTCACTCAGCGCGAAGGAAGTGTTAAGACACTAAAACAAGAAACGATTAAACACAAGCGCCGACTTATCGTCGAGAACTACGAACGGACATCGCAGCTATCCTTCCAAACCTGTGATACAAGTTTCACGTCTTGGTATAAACACAACCGAAGTGAACAAGAAGACAGGACTATCTGTCTTCAATCTGACACGTGCCCGGCGTACTAAGTATAGTTCTTTCAAAAATAAAATTTTAGCTACGGGGCTGGTTTAACCATAGTGTGCATGGTGCAAGAGGCCCACATTTTGACAGGCCTTTTGAGTCATTGAGTGAGCTCGCACGACACTATAGACAGTTATAGTTTATGGTTAACGTGATAGCGCAGGCTAAGGGAATGGGGTTACCGTGCAGCATACGTTCGTTGTGGACAGCGTCTTATAGTTTAGCTACTGGTATGTGTTCTGTGGTTTAGCGGCCCCGCCGCGGTGGTCTAGTGGCTAAGGTACTCGGCTGCTGACCCGCAGGTCGCGGGTTCGAATCCCGACTGCGGCGGCTGCATTTCCGATGGAGGCGGAAATGTTGTAGGCCCGTGTGCTCAGATTTGGGTGCACGTTAAAGAACCCCAGGTGGTCGAAATTTCCGGAGCCCTCCACTACGGCGTCTCTCATAATCATATTGTTACGTGAGTAACGAGACAAAGTATTGCGAATATATTCGAAAAATATATTTGCAAGAGCGGTTGCAGCACTGGCCAGTCTGGCTCCGAGCTCGAGCAGCCAGCGAGCCTCATCTTCTTCGTCGGGCGCACACGCGCATTCGCACTATGGTTTGTGGCAGCCTACAGGTAGCATATAACCCCCGTCGGCAAAGGCGCCGTCTCGGCGCATCTAGATGTCAAGATCATTGGGCGAGTGGTACTGCTTCAGGCGTGCGACGTGTACGATGTCGCTGGCCCTAGGGGTGGATGAAGACGGCGAGGCAGCAGGAGTGATTTCATAAGTGACGGGAGTCACCTCACGAAGCACTCTGTAGGGCCCTGTGTACCGAGAGAGCAGTTTGTCAGACAGGCCAACGTGCCTGGTCGGAGACCACAGCAGAACCAACGAACCGGGCGAAAAGTGCACATCGCGGTGTCGTTGGTCGTACCGACGCCGTTGGTTTGCTTGGGAGGTCAGAAGGCGAGCACGAGCGGTTTCGCGTGCGTGGGCGGCCCGGCTGATGGCGTCCAGAGCATATTGTGAAGTTGGAGCTGCTGGTAACGGAATCGTCGTATCGAGGGGTAATGTGGGTTCGCGGCCGAACAGCAAGAAAAAAGGGGAGTAACCAGCCGTGTCGTGGCGCGAAGAATTGTAGGCAAATGTCACGTATGGTAAAGCGATGTCCCAGTCAGAGTGATCTGAGGAAACGTACTTTGCAAGCATGTCAGTTAGGGTTCGGTTCAGGCGTTCTGTGAGGCCATTTGTTTGCGGATGGTACGACGTAGTGAGCTTGTGGCGTGTTGCACAAGAGCGTAGAATGTCCGCTATGACTTTCGATAGAAATGTGCGGCCTCGGTCCGTGAGCAGCTGGCGTGGAGCACCATGTTGCAAGATCACGTCGTGTAGAAGAAAATCGGCGACGTCAGTGGCGCAACTTGTTGGAAGGGCGCGTGTGATTGCGTAGCGTGTGGCGTAGTCTGTGGCCACAGCTATCCACCTGTTGCCAGCAGAAGACAGAGGAAAAGGGCCGAGTAAGTCCAAGCCGACGCGAAAGAAAGGTTCAGTAGAAATATCGAGTGGTTGAAGGCGCCCAGCCGGAAGCGTCGATGGTGTTTTGCGGCGCTGACATTCCTCACACGCCGCGACGTATCTTCTGACGGACCGTGCCAGACCTGGCCAATAGAAGCGACGGCGAATCCGGTCGTATGTGCGGGACACACCCAGGTGACCGGCAGTAGGAACGTCATGAAGTTCGTGGAGTACAGCCAAGCGGAGGTGTTTGGGTATGGCAAGCAGCAGAGATGGGCCGTCTGGATGGAAGTTATGCCGGTATAATGTGCCATTCTGGAGTACGAACGAGCGATAGGATCGGTTCGATGGGGAGGAGTCGAGGCGCTCAATGATAGCTCGTAGGGCTGCATCACGGCGTTGCTCGTCGGCTATGTGGTTCAGTTGAGAAACGGAGCACACGCAGGCGTCGTTGTCAGGTATGGTGGCCGATGGGTCAACTGGATAGCGAGAAAGGCAATCGGCGTCCTGGTGCAGGCGTCCAGACTTGTATATCACAGAAAAGGTGTATTCTTGCAGTCGCAGAGCCCAGCGACCAAGTCGACCTGTAGGATCTCTTAAGGATGAAAGCCAGCAGAGCGCGTGGTGGTCGGTGACGACGGAAAAGTGAGTGCCATATAAATATGGACGGAATTTTGAGACCGCCCAGACAAGAGCAAGGCATTCTCGCTCTGTGATCGAATAGTTACGCTCTGCAGGTGTAAGGAGGCGGCTAGCATACGCGATAACGCGGTCGTGTCCCTGTTGGCATTGGGCGAGAACGGCTCCGATACCGTGACCACTGGCATCAGTTCGGACCTCAGTTCGGGCAGATGGGTCAAAATGGGCGAGGATAGGGGGCGTCGTCAAAAGTGTTATGAGGTGAGAGAAGGCGGCAGCTTGAGTGGACCCCCACGAAAATGGAACGCCTTTCTTCAAAAGATCGGTAAGTGGTTGGGCGATTGCCGCAAAATCTTTCACGAACCGCCTAAAGTAGGAGCAAAGTCCCACAAAGCTCCGGACATCTTTGGCGGATTGGGGTACTGGGAAATTCGTGACGGCACGAATTTTCTCAGGGTCCGGTCTCACACCAGAAGCATCGACAAGGTGGCCCAGCACGGTAATCTGTCGGCGGCCGAAGTGACACTTCGAGGAGTTCAACTGGAGGCCAGCTTTGCGGAAGACGTCGAGAATGGCCGACAGACGCTCAAGGTGGGTCTCAAACGTAGGTGCAAATACGAGGACGTCGTCTAGGTAACACAGGCATGTTGACCATTTGAACCCGTGTAGCAGAGAGTCCATCATACGTTCGAACGTGGCGGGGGCATTGCATAGGCCGAAGGGCATAACCTTGAATTGGTATAGGCCATCTGGAGTGATGAAGGCGGTCTTTTCTTGGTCTTTCTCGTCTACGGCAATCTGCCAATAACCAGAACGAAGGTCGATGGATGAAAAGTAGCGTGCGCCGTGGAGACAATCGAGGGCGTCATCAATACGTGGTAAAGGATACACGTCCTTTTTGGTGATTCGATTTAGATGCCGGTAATCGATGCAAAAACGCCATGTGTTGTCCTTCTTTTTAACCAGGACGACGGGTGACGCCCATGGGCTTGATGAGGGCTCAATAATGCCTTTAGTTAACATCTTATTCACTTCAGCTTGAATAATCTGGCGCTCCGACGCGGACACGCGATACGGTCGACGGTGAATGGGAGCAGCATCACCGGTGTTGATGCGGTGCTTTACAAGAGAAGTTTGGCCGAGTGGGCGGTCGTCAAGGTCGAAGATGTCACGGTAGGAAGCTAGAAGGCGTGCGAGAGCGGCTGATTGCGCTGGGGGAAGGTCAGGGTCGATCATGGGACGTATTGACATGTCGAGGCATGTGGCATCGAGTGGGCGACAAGGAAAATTGGGGCATGCGTCGGCTGCGAAAGTGGTGACGTGATCATCGGCTAAGGACCGCAACGTGGCAATTAGGATGCCTTCAGGGAGGACTTGCTTTGTGAAGCCGAAATTTATGACGGGTAGACGGGTCCGGTTGGAGGCTACAGTTACGATGCAGTGAGGGACGGTGACGTCACGTGCCAGTAGGACATCAGGAATCGGCGTGACGATGTAATTCCCATCCAATACGGGTGAGGTCGTGGCGAATTCGGTGAATGTGAGGGCTTTAGGCGGTAAGCGGAGGAAGTCTGTGGCAGAAAGGCCGTGTTGAGGTTCAGGGTGAATATCCGGCTGAAGAGGAAGGTCTAAGCAAAGAGTACCAGCGGAACAGTCGATCAGAGCAGAATGGGTCGACAGGAAGTCCATCCCTAAGATGAGGTCATGAGGACAGTTCTGGAGCACAGTGAATAGAACAGGGATGTAACGGTCGGCGATGCGTATGCGAGCCGTACACATGCCAATGACAGGAACAGTGCCGCCATCGGCCACACGTACAGCTTCGGTAGCAGGGGGCGTGAGTACTTTTCTTAAGCGGCGACAAAGATGAACGCTGATTATGGATACATGAGCGCCAGTATCGACTAGTGCCGACAGAGAAATACCGTCCACGTGTACATCGACAAGATTTTTGTTCGTATGAAGCGTCAATGGAGGGTTTGGTTCAGACAGGGATGATGCAGCACTACCTCCAGGGGCTGCACTGTCTAGTTTTCCGTCGGGTACGATGAAAAGTTAGGCGGCGAGTGATGGCGGCGTGGCTGGGGCGACGGGGAACGACGGCGTTGAGGGGACGGAGAACGAGCAGGAAGGCGGCTGTTAGACGTGTCGAAAGCAGGGGCGGTACGGCTGGACGAATACCGGCGAAGATCTTCATATGGGCTATAAGGTGCGAAAAACTGGCTCCTATGTGGCGGCGTCCAGGAGGCACGGCAGTAGCGGAGACATGTCCAACGCGGTGGCACCGGAAGCAGATCGGTTTGTCGTCAGGAGTTCGCCATTCCGCCGGGTTGCGAGATCGTGGAGCAACAAATGGGTCACGTCGAGGTGCATTAATGGGAATTGGTCTGGAGGAGGGGCAAGAGATGGGGCAAGCATCAGGGAACCCGCGGTTGGCGAATTCTTGTCGTACGACCGCCTGAATAACGGAGATCGCGGGGGTTGTCGGTATCGTATGTTCGAAAGAAGTGGGCTGAAGCGGCGCTGGACTTGCTGCTTCAAGTTCCCGTCGAACGATACGCGTTACACTCTGCTCAAAGGGCGGTGTGACGGTAGAATCGGAGCAGGTGGACGTAGCCGCCGTGTTTGGCAACCGAGAAAAAGGAGGGCGCACCCGGCGGCTTTTTGCTGTTTCGAAACGGCGGCATTCTTGAATTACACGGTCGATGGTCGAGACGTTAGTGTACACCAGCAAATTGAAGGCGTCGTCCGCGATCCCCTTCAAAACGTGTCCAACCTTTTCAGCCTCAGACATCGCCTCGTCCACTTTTCGGCAAAGAGCGAGAACTTCTTGGATGTATGACACATACGATTCAGTTGGCGACTGGACACGGGTAGCCAGCTCCTGTCGTGCAGCTGCGTGGCGACCGGTCGGGTCCCCAAAGATGTCACGTAGCTTCTCCTTGAACGTGTCCCAGCTGGTGAGTTCGGACTCATTTGTCTCGTACCAGACACGCGGGGTTCCGTCCAAGTAGAAGAGAACATTAGCGAGCATCATGGTAGGGTCCCAACGGTGAGTTTGACTGACCCGTTCATAAAGGCGAAGCCATTTGTCGACGTCGAGGCCAGGTTGCGCAGAAAATGTCCCGGGATCACGTGGTGTTTGGACGGCGACAAAGGTTGTCGGAGAAGCCGCAGATGATGAAGCGGACGCGTTGTCACTGGAAGCCATGGCGGGAAGCTGGAGGATGCGGCCACTGCGGAGCTGCGTGGTGAGGACGGGGATCGTTCCACCTCCACCAAATATGTTACGTGAGTAACGAGACAAAGTATTGCGAATATATTCGAAAAATATATTTGCAAGAGCGGTTGCAGCACTGGCCAGTCTGGCTCCGAGCTCGAGCAGCCAGCGAGCCTCATCTTCTTCGTCGGGCGCACACGCGCATTCGCACTATGGTTTGTGGCAGCCTACAGGTAGCAATATGGTGGTTTTGGGACGTTAAACCCCACAAATCAATCAATCTGTGGTTTAGCGGAATAACGTTTACGTGCTCCAGCTGGGACGGTGGCGCTACCTATCAGACGGTTAATAAGTTAAAGACAGTGAAAAGGAAAAGAAAACGAGACTGTTTGCCTATGCCACCGCACGAAGCATTATTACAAGTTTATTTTACTAATAATAAAAGCAAATAACTACAAACCATGCTCCAAACGCGAAAAAAATGTTGCCGATTTGTTTACATCGATCTTGTAGTTAGGCCTAGAAGCGTCCGAAATGGGAAGCTATCTCAAAAACTACGCTAACTTAATACTCAGTTATCGAAGCTAACTGAAGGCAAGCGAAGTTTCTTCAAATAGTTGTTTGCTGCGAACAAAGTGAATCTTTCAACGACTACGCCAAAATCAATTAGAAGAGGGCGACCGAGAGCGCCGCCATGTTTTACGTACACTATGTACGCCTATACGCTACATCGGTACCGCTTACCGTACGCTACACCGCGCGTACGGTAAGCGGTACCGATGTAGCGTACGTATCTGCGCACGCGTACTTCAATCCTGCTATCACGGTAAGTCCGGTATCCCGCTAAGCCCGGTATGTATTAAAGAGGGAGAAAGGGGCGGGGGGTCAGAGGTCTATCACAGCTAGTACTCTTAGAATGTAACATTAGGAGCCTTATACCGTCATTAGGTGATTGGAGGGGGAGGCAGCTGCTTCATCAGCACCCACTCGCTCATACGCGCGGTCGTGACGCATATTTCGCAAACGCTCACCATGGCTAGACAGTAGGCGTTCGGGTTGAAGTCCGAACCAAGGGAAACGGCCACGCCTGCCTCTATCAGACGTCGCACGGGTGGAGGCTCGAGCCGCAGCAGGAACGCCGTGGTGGGCAGCACCACCGCCACGCTGCCCGCCTTGGCCATGGCCTCGATGCCGGCACTAGACACGCATTCCAAGTGGGACATTGCCTCGGCACACAGCGATGCCCCCATCTGCAGGAAGTGACGCGGTACATCGTTAGCATCCATGTGTGAATAGCTGAAATCCTTTCCGTCGTGAAGTCGTGAAGCGTCGTGCCTGCCTAAAGTCTCCAGGTGGACTTCCTCAAACATAGCGAGAGAACGCATGCATTAATTGCGAAGCATTTTTGTGCAGTGCAGGCACTTTGAGCATCTATATCTATCTATCTATCTATCTATCTATCTATCTATCTATCTATCTATCTATCTATCTATCTATCTATTTATCTATCTATCTATCTATCTATCTATCTATCTATCTATCTATCTGTCTATCTATCTATCTATCTATCTATCTATCTATCTATCTATCTATCTACGTCTGGGTGCTTTCGTGATCAGCCTTTCTACTTTGGGTAAACCAAAAATAGTATGGTAGGGTAAGATGGGTCGAGTATGTCGTCAAACCCTTTCCGCCAGACCTGTGGCACAGGAACGGCGAGAACAGACATGAGTAATTTCAAGGCGTACGAGCTTAAAGAAAAGTTGACACCGAAAGAATTGACCCGACAAATGCAAACAACAAATATTGTGGAACACAAGCATTCTACGTGGCAATCAAGTATTCTGCCACAGAGCCATGCCAGATTTTTTTTTAACATGGCATTTAATAGAATGCGCAATATATTTTTACACAGTATCGCACAGAGTTACACTGTTGCAGTTCTATAGCGACAGTAAGCATAGACGCACTGCTTAAAGAGAAACTCGAAGGCTAAAGTCTTTAGACTAGGGAGAGTTCATGTGCTGCACTAGAAAAGTGGTGAGGCTAAGCACCTTGCCACGATGGGACACCAGTCCCACCGAAACTCAAGTTCATCATAAACATTCTTTAAGTGAACAGCCATTCGGATGAAATGTGTGCGTGAAGAGGTGATTATACCTGCGTTTTGGTCTTGCATATGTGTCTTATATAGGGAAAAACAGAGCCATGCCCTGCAAGTGTTGGAACTACTTTTCTAATTAGTCTATAATGTTCGCGAAACGTCTAATTGCGGTTGCAGTGCTGGTCATCGAATTTTATAAAGAGCACATTTGTAGTCCTATAATACCACCGTCACGTCGGGTTAACGTCAATTGTACTTAAGTGCCAACCGATGAAGTTGACTTATGTAGCAGTGTCTATAGGCTATACCATTCCAGTGAGCACCAACGCTTCATATCAACTTACCTGCTTCTGGTGTTGCTAATATATGTTGCTATTGGCATCGTTACCGCAACTGTTAACAACTGGTTATACTAAAACATATGAGGCTGTGTAACGTGTGTATGTGCGGTCATTTGTACATATCTTTGGCGCCAATTTCGTAAGGTAGCACTCAATAAAATATTGCAATACAGTCACCTTCCATCCGCATTCTTCGCATAAGCATCGATTCCCAAGGTACGTGGGATCTGCCGAATGTTTATGTATACAAGATTTTCTGAGTGAAAATTTAACAGGAGCCGAATGTAATTCTTCCCGCAGTGCCTTAATGTGACCAGAGTGATCCACTCCCGCATCTGTCCGCCATATGCTGTGGAAGTGTCCAGATGCGAAGTGTCCAAAGAAAGGGGGGCGAATGCATCAGCATGTGCGCAGCGTAGAAATTGGCCAGCCAACAGCGTGCGTACTGATGGGTAAATGTTTCACCCTATAAGCACATTGTTATCCAGAGTAATTTTAGAGAGTGAAATTTTAACTATACTTGTGATCCGGCGGTATACTACAAACAGTGCACGCGTTGTTATGCTCCTTCTTTTACCTTACCCAATAGAACGATATCTTTAAACCTGTTTGTAGGGAACATAAGCTCAATAATTATCGTTATCTTTGCCCATTCCAAATTATAGATTTTGATAGATATCATGTTTTGACCCACAACTTATTTTAGTCTTCCAAAATTCGTCCCACCATGCACGCTCTTATATAGCGTACTGCCCCTTTCGTGTATTTCAAAGACGGACGTGTGCATCTAGCGTTCACACCTCAACTCCGCCGATCCAGTTCAGCTCCTCGGCATGGAAGTTGAGCCTGAGGCCCGCTTCACGACCAGCCTGTAGGATCTTGCGCGAGCTCTCGACGTCGAACACGCCCTTTTCGCAGAACACATCGATGTTCTCGACGGTCAACGTGCCTTCCGAAACGCGCCTCTTTATCTCCGGCAGCTGCCTCGTCACAATGTCCTCTGTGGCTTCTTGAGCGTTCTTTCCCCTGCGATGAAAGATTGCTGTAATAAGCGCATCTGGTATAGTGACTTCTTTTTTTTCTTTTTTTAGCAAAACGGTGCACAGTATACAGCAAGGGACATTGTGGACAGAATGAACTATCCTGTGACAGGTCCGAGGGTCAGCGCTGTTGCCATCCGCTGTACCTCGTCAGTTACGTTTGTCAGAGAAAGGCCGCCATCTTTGATTATCTCAAACCGAAAACGGCAAGATGGCGTTATTTCACAATTCAATTGCATCAGAACCCTGACTAAAACATGACTTAGCATGAAAGCATGATTAGAACTATTCAAAATCAGACGAACATGAACGATGCTTCGATTCGTTGTAATCAGAACAATCCTGCTGTTCATTCGTTATGAGGAAAACTGAGCGATAAACGCAGACATAGGGAGAACAGATTCTCCCTCTGTCTACGTTTGCAATTTGTTTAAAACCCATCTGAACACCTTGGACCCCACTGGTTCCGGTGGCAAGTGTTGGATGTCTCCGCCTTGCTACTGTTTCAATATGTAACAAGCCAAATGCGCTGTAGATCCACTGTGCATGAGAGTCCTTGCCCGGACACGTTTGGAGTATGCGTACGGCCATGTTAACTGGACATTACTGCACACGGAGATGATGAGCTGTTTCTGTCATCAACCTCGTAACGTTGAAAAGCAGTGCGGAGCTGGGCAGCCTTCTTTGTTTCTTTTTTCGATTTTTCTTGTCTGTTCTCACTCTGTTCTTTCTCTTTTCATTTCTATATTTTCTCTGTTTTATTTCCATTTCTTACTTTCCCTTGATCTGTTTCTTTGCCTTTCTTGTTCTCTCTCCCCTTTTCTCTTTTTTATTTGACGCTTGCTTTCTTTTTTTTCTACTTTAATACGTGGTCTTCTCCTGCGTTACGTCGAATGCACAGTTTTTTGGCTGACGATGATGAGTTATCATTATGAGGGCGCTAGAAAAAAATTGGCCCCGTATCTACATGTTACACTGCAAATGTCGTCAAAAGAAGACGCGTATGGGAAGAGGGGACAAAACGCTTATTTGATGTTCTGCGCAAGAAAATGGGTGAGTGGTATTCTGGAGGCGCTGCTTTAGAGTGCCTCGAGCATGCAGCAGAGGCGAACGAGTGCATCAAGTCACGCCACATGTGAGACATGAGCGCTATCTGGCAGTTATCTTAGAAAACGAAGCGCACGGCGTGCGTGGCCGTCTCGGGGGCGATAAGGTGTAGAACGCAAAGCGACGGGTAGGTGCCACCACCTTGTCATCTTAGCAAAGCGTTGGAAACAATTGCCTTTTCGTGCAAGCGTTGCATTGTCAGCGCAGCGTGATAGACGCTACGGTCCTTAGAATTACTTATGTATGCCTTTTCTAGTATAAAGACACACATACAAAATATTGACATGATGTTAGAGTGCCTCAGATGTGCGCAATAGTTGTTTTTTTAATTGAAAATCGCACAAGTATGAACGCTGAAGCTTGAGCAATTTTGGTGGTCGCTGCGGATGGGGTCGGCCATTTAAGGTATCGTTCGGTGCCATAGAAGTATCGTTAAAGGCGGACAAACAGACAAATAGACAGTCAGACCGACCAAAATTTTTCCATCAGAGGTCCCCAAGAAAGACTATCGTCTTTAAAAGAGGAAGACGACTTCTTTGGCGTGAGAGACAGCGAGGGTGCGTGAAAAAGACCGCTTGGCAAGAGAGCACGCTCAATACGCTACACATGGAGAGGACATGGTTCATGTTTACTTGTGAAACAGCGCCTTGTCACCGTGCGCTGCGTCTCAAGTAAACCAAACTATCTACAGCTTGCCCATCTTTTAACGTTAATGAAGATGAAGTTACGCGAAGCGACGACGACAGCATACTTTTATCTCACCTTATCAATCTACTATCACTTGCCCGAATATACGTAAAGAGTCGTGTGAGCGCGTCGAAGAAGAAAAAAAAGACATGCACGGAAGGGTCTCACTTGGGGACAGCGTGTGCTCCGCAGAAAGTGCTGGATATCTCTATTGGCGTCTTCAGGCGAGCCTTCTCGATGGTGTGCAGCATCTTGAGTTCGGTCTGTAGGTCCAGTCCGTAGCCGGACTTGGCCTCGACTAGCGTGGTGCCAGCTGCCAGCATGGCGTCCAGCCGCTTCACCAGACTCTCCAGCAGACGCTCCTCGCTGGCATTCCGGGTGTGCTCCACTGTGAAGTGGATTCCGCCGCCCTTCTCGTGGATTTCCAAGTACGTCGCACCGGCTAACTGCGGTAGTACATGCAATCATACAGTATAGTTCTTCATTGGTACAAATATAAATCCTGCCTGAAAACTGCGGAAATCATTGGTACATTTTCTTGGGAAGGTGTTAAGGTTATAGTGAGCGATAAGTTAGAGCACACCATCACGTGCGCTGCCAAGCAAACGAAAAAAAAAGGCCAGCTTTTTTTTTTCTTTTTATCTGTGCATCCTTCTGTCACGGCCGCTCCATCCCCGCGCCCTCGTGTATTTAATGTGGTTTTTCACTGGCTCTATTGGTGGGCCCACCTTTGAATAATTGACGTCACATGATGACGCCATCTGTTGATGTCATCATCATCATCATCAGCCTGACTACGTCCACTGCAGGGCAAAGGCCTCTCCCATGTTCCGCCAGTTAACCCGGTCCTGTGCTTGCTGCTGCCAATTTATACCCGCAAACTTCTTAATCTCGTCTGCCCACCTAACCTTCTGTCTCCCCCTAACCCACTTGCCTTCTCTGGGAATCCAGTTAGTTACCCTTAACGACCAGCGGTTATCCTGTCTACGTGCTACATGCCCGGCCCATGTCCATTTCTTCTTGATTTCGGCTATGATATCCTTAACCCCCGTTTGTTCCCTAATCCACTCTGCTCTCTTCTTGTCTCTTAAGGTTACACCTACCATTTTTTTTCATTGCTCGCTGCGTCGTCCTCAATTTAAGCTGAACCCTCTTTGTTGATGTCATAGTGACGTAATAATGATGACACAAATTTGGTGATCTGTGATGTCGTGATGACGTCATATTGTGACGTTATCACGTGTTGATTTTTTACAACGCTTTCGTTGACGACGATGGTCGATTGTTACGTTAGATGAGACAGGCTTTCGCTTTATCACTTGAAACCGTACACGTGCATACCAGGGAGGCGTTAATAACTTAAGGGCCAGGCCAAAGTTGGTCCTATATCCTTACTTCTGTCCCGTCATTATTTAAAGAACAAAGCTAAGCTGACACAGATTTTTTTTTATAATGTCGGCCGAAGGCCCCCTCATGTCTAATTATCGCTTCATTTTCCTGATTTCATTCTTTGTGGATCATGTGTTTTGGCCTCGATCATTAGGATGTGGGGATGGGGTGCGACGATCCCCCCCCCCCCTATAACAGTGAAGCCTGCGCACGCCTGAGTATAAAACCGTCACGTGCACGCATATCTTGCACTGATTTTAGGATCTGCCCACCAAGACACCACGTTCCCTACGCGATCGTCCCATCGCGTTAATGTTGCATTGTTTGGGGACTCACTTCAGTTTGCAGTGCATGCGAGACACACATCAAACCTCGTCGAGATAAGCAAGTCAAATTTCGCTTTTATAAATGTTCTTGAATGTGTACATTTTAACGATCCGAAAGTATAACCGTGACACTCACCTTCATCGCGAATTCATGCACACGGTCCCCTGCCCACACTGGATGTGTGTGCGAGTCGACGAGTCCTGTGGAACACGCGTGAAAAGTTCAACACTATGGTATTTTTCCAGCCCGGCTCTTTGTTGCGGCTCAAAGCATCGCCGTAAGAACAAGATCCTCTGGAATGTTTTGAATACACGCAATCCAAACTCACCAGGGAGAACGCAGCAACCAGTGGCATCGATTACTTCTTCAAACTGACTTAGCTCGTAGTTCTCGGCGATCACGCTGCTTTCGTCTATCGCAACTATCCTTCCGAACCTGCAATACAAGTTTCACGTCTTGGTCTAAACACAAACGAAGTGAACAAGCAAGAACGGACCAGAGGTATAAAAAACTGCTCTACTTGAAGGAGTGATTGATTGAAATAATCTTGTTGTAGGAGGGGCAAAATACAATAAAGAAGCGCCCATACCACATTTCATGAGGAGGCATACTCAGAAATGAACTCCAATAACAATGAGAAGGTGGGTTTATGCAAACAAATAAAATGAAATAATTTAAGAAATGTTAAGCAGTATGTCTGTAACAGATGAAATGCGGAAAGGGGGGTTTGCAAATTGACGTGTTAAATGTTTCTTAAATTATCACCGTCATCACAATTACTTCTTAGATTATTATGATTCTCGCTATGCGCTTGCAGTTCGATTATGTTTCGAAAACACGTGTTTCATATATATATATATATATATATATATATATATATATATATATATATATATATATATATATATATATATATATATATATATATATCTTCAAATAGAGGTGTTGTACGTCGGAAAAAGCTTCAGACGCAGCTTGGCAAAATATGCTTTATCAGGCAGGTCTGGCTAATGGCGAGCGGCGTGCGCGAGCTTCTACTGCAGTCACCGATCATCGTCGTCTTCTTCATTGCCAGCAGAGCGTCCGTTATTCAGATTGATTAATTCATTACAATTACTCCCCGCGAAATAAGGAGCCATCCTGGCGACCTATGGACAAGTAAACACGGGAGGGTCGTAGCAGGGCTTAAGTCTCGAGACGTGGACAATTTCCTGGCCACGACGACGTTGGTCAGAAGATGGTTCCAGTGGCTCAATGAGGTAATTCACTGGTGACGTTTTTTGTAGCACACGATATGGGCCGTGATACTTGGGGACCAACTTGGTAGAAAGGCCAGGTGTAGCAGAAGGGACATGCAGCCAGACGAGTGAACCTGGATTGTAGGAAGTAGTGTTACTTGATGCGTCATGGTGGTGCTTTTGGCGTCCTTGGTCTTGGGTTGTGAATGATCTGGCCAGTTGGCGGCATTCTTCAGCGTATGTAGCGGCTTGAGACAAAGTCGTGGACTCTGAGGAGTCAGGTTTGTACGAAAGAATGGTGTCCATAGTGCAAGAAGGTTCGCGTCCGTAAAGGAGGAAAAAAGGAGAGAACCCAGTAGTGCTTTGAATGGCGGTATTATAGGCGAACGTGATAAACGGGAGCACTCAGTCCCAATTGGAGTGGTCTGACGAGATATACATAGACAGCATGTCACCAAGGGTGCGGTTGAAGCGCTCTGTCATTCCATTGGTCTGGGGATGATAGGCGCTTGTAGTGCGGTGAACGACGTGGCACTCACGCAGCAATGCTGTGATGACGTCTGACAAGAATACGCGACCACGATCGCTCAGTAACTCCCGAGGTGCTCCATGACGTAATGTTGTGAAGTACGAAAGTCGCAACGTCTTTTGCTGTAGACGAGGGAAGGGATGAAGTTTCGGCATACCGCGTGAGATGGTCGACGGCAACTATGATCCAGCGGTTACCGTCAGCAGTGTTGGGAAGGGGACCATAGATATCGATGCCGACGCGGTCGAATGGTCGGGATGGGCATGGTAAGGGTAACAAGGTACCGCTGGCGTGATAAGGGGGAGTTTTTCGTCTCTGGCATGTCGAGCAGGCCCGAACGTATTGTCGTATAAATCGGTACATGCCACGCCAGTAATATCGGAGAAGTATGCGAGAATAAGTCTTCAGGAAACCTGCGTGTCCACATTGGGGGTCGTCATGAAACGTGGAACAAATTTCGGATCGCAGATGACGTGAAATCACGAGTAGCCACTGACGTCCACCGGGTGCGTAGTTGCGTCGGTACAGCACGTCGTCGCGAGTGGCGAAGTGCTCGACTTGCCGACGCAACGAGCGAGAAGGGGGGGAAGCCGTCCGGCCAGCCAGGATGTCTAGAATCGAAGCAACCCACGGGTCCTTGCGTTGCTCTGATGGCATGTCGGCGATGGTGACGGCAGTGGCATAACAGGTTAGCCTTTCGCAGCAGTCCGGGTCAGGGGGTAGGGGCGAACGGGATAGGGCGTCTGCGTCCGAATGTTTCCGGCTGGAGCGATAGACCACGCGAATATTATATTCTTGGAGGCGTAATGCCCATCGGGCGAGGCGACCGCTTGGATCCTTCAGTGACGACAACCAGCAGAGGGCGTGGTGGTCAGTCACGACGTCAAAAGGGCGTCCGTACAAGTAAGGTCGAAATTTCTCTATCGCCCAAATAATGGCCAGACATTCCTTTTCAGTGACGGAATAGTTGATTTCGGCTTTGCTAAGAGTTCGGCTTGCGTAGGCAACGACGTACTCTTGGAAGCCGTCTTTCTTCTGTGCAAGAATAGCGCCTAGCCCGACACCACTAGCGTCGGTGTGGATCTCTGTGGGTGCCGATGGGTCGTAGTGTCGCAGAATAGGCGGCGACGTGAGGAGGCGGCGCAGTTCATTGAAAGAATCGTCACAGGTGGCAGACCAGGCTGAAAGGTCTCTGGAGCCGGCGAGGAGCTTGGTCAAAGGAGCGATGATCGTCGCGAAATTGCGAACGAAGCGCCGGAAGTAAGAGCACAGGCCTATGAAGCTTCGGAGCTCTTTCATGGTGGTCGGTTTGGGAAACGCTGAAACGGCTGTAAGTTTGGCAGGGTCAGGATGAATGCCGTCTTTTGAAACCACGTGGCCAAGGATCGTAAGCTTTCGAGCGGCGAAATGGCACTTCTTCAGATTCAGTTGCAGCCCCGCGGCAGAAATACACGCGAGTACTTTCTCGAGGCGGGTTAAATGGGTTGCGAAATCAGTTGAAAAGACGACAATGTCATCTAAATAACACAGGCAAACGTTCCATTTGAGGCCTCGAAGGATAGAGTCCATCATTCGCTCGAAAGTAGCCGGCGCGTTGCAGAGGCCGAAGGGCATGACTGTGAATTCGTAAAGCCCGTCGGGCGTGATGAAAGCTGTTTTCTCGCGATCGGCCTCTGCCATGGGTACCTGCCAGTATCCAGAGCGCAGATCTAAAGAAGAGAAAAATTCGGCTCCCTGTAGGCAGTCCAAGGCATCGTCAATGCGTGGCAGCGGATAGACATCTTTGCGCGTGATTCGGTTGAGACGTCGGTAGTCCACGCAAAACCTGATGGATCCGTCCTTCTTCAACACAACTGGAGAGGCCCAGGGACTGCTTGACGGTTCGATTATGCCACGTGTCAGCATGTCGTCAACCTGTTCATTAATGGCACAGCGTTCGGTAGTTGACACACGATATGGACGCTGCCGTAATGGCGTCTCTTGACCGGTATCTATACGATGAACAACAGATGACGCTCGACCTAAGGAAGGCTGATTGTGGTCAAACGAGGCCCGAAAACGCTGTAGGAGCTTGATCAGCTGTTCCTGCTGCCCAGGCGTGAGGTTGCAATCAATGGACTTGCGGAATACATCCATAGGTTCATTAGCGTCAGCTGCGGGTGTAATGGCACAAGTCGGTAAGAATGGCTTGTCTGGATAGATCGGGTCTTCGAAAATACAATTTAAGGTCTCAAGGCTCCCCAGACACTCGCCGCGTAGCAGGATGTATGGGCAAGCAGAAACGTTGCACGCATAAAGTACCGCCGAACCATTGGAAAAGTTGATGACGGCAAACGGGAGGACGATGGTTCGGTGTTGCACACTAGCTATAGTTGGTTGGAACAGGAGCGTCGAGTTAGTGGCAGCAGGGGAAAACACAGGCACTAGGACGGCGGACAACGGCGCGATGTGGACGTCAGCTGCGGCAAACACTTTTGAGGGACTGTGGTGGTCGATATCAAGGCACGGATTCGTCAATGTGAGTTCAGCGCGAGCGCAGTCGACGAGGGCCTGATGGGTAGAAAGGAAATCCCATCCTATTATGACGTCGTAAGATGAACGTGGGAGAACAACAAAGTTGACAGCGTACCAAACATCTTGAATAAGAACGCGTGCTGTGCACTGAGCTGTCGGCGCGATGAAATGGGAGGTGGCTGTACGCAGAGCAAGATTCGTAAGCGGCGTTGTAACTTTTCTCAAATCGCGACACAGTTTTTCACTAATTACAGAAACGACGGCGCCTGTGTCGACAAGTGCACGTACAGCAACACCTTCTACTAGCACATCAATTTCGTTGGGCGGACAAAGAGGAGGTCTTGGAAAGTTCGACGACGACGCAGTTCTTGCCTCCGGAACTGCGGCTGTCAGTTTTCCTCTCGAGCGGGGCTCGTGCGCCGAAGCATCGGGGAGACAGATCGGCGACGGGGTGGTAATGACCGGCGATAATCGACAGGGCGTCGTGGGGACAATGAGTCGGTGATATGAGAAGATGGTCGCTGGGGATTCTGGGCAGCTTGGTAATTTGCAGAATTCCCATGATCTGGAGGCTGGAAGTTGCGACGGCGACAGTAGCGTGCTATATGTCCCACGAAACCGCATGCGAAACAGATGGGTCGATTATCCAAGGTGCGCCATGGGTTAACGACAGAAGGTGCAGGTGGCGAAACGGGATGGGGTGCCGTGTATGTAGGCAGCGTCGTATGGTAGGAGGACCCGGTACCCCGGTATGCGCCAGAGACAGGTGGGGCTGGGGGTCTAGCAACGACGGCAGCGTAGGTCAACGGCGTAGGGACGGGTGGCGATGGAGGCAGTGCCTGCGTGACCTGTGTCTCAATGACCTGGCGTAAACGTGGGCCTAACGAGGTCACTGGCGCGGATGTTTCGGCCACAAGAGAAAGCTGACGCGCAACTTCTTCACGAATGAATTGTTTTATGTGGGACAGTAAGACGGTGTGATCAGCAGCGACGTCGTGCACGAGGGCGGAAACTTCAGCCGTATCTTCAGCGGCCCTGCGCGTCGAGACACGCTGCTTACGCAACTCGTCGTACTCCTGACAGAGCTGGACAACATCGGTGACGGTCTGTGGGTTCCTAGCGACGAGCATCTGGAAGGTGTCGTCGTCAACTCCTTTGATGATGTGCTTGATTTTGTCGCGTGCGGTTAGAGATTCATCGACGCGCTTGCAAAGAGACAAGACATCTTCAATGTAACTCGTAAAGGTCTCATCTCTGCGCTGGACTCGACTACGGAGACGCTGTTCCGCGCGAAGCCGGCGCACGGCGGGACGACCGAAGACCGCGGCGATGGTGGTCTTGAAGGCGGACCAGTTAGTGATTTCGCCGTCGTGGTTCTTGAACCAGAGGCTGGCCACATCAGCGAGGTAAAAGCGCACGTTTGTGAGCTGGTCGCAGGCGTTCCACTTGTTGGAAGCACTTACGATTTCGTACTCGACGAGCCAGTCCTCGACGTCTTGTTCGTCGTTGCCGCGAAAAATTGGTGGGTCGCGTTGCCGAGGTACGCCAGTACAGTAGACTGTCGTTGGTAAGGCAGCTTGAGAAGGGCCAGGAGCAGTCATGGTGAACGGTGAGGGTAGCGTCCGATTGCGAAGTTCCAGGTTGATGGGAACCCCGGCTCCTCCACCACTTCAAATAGAGGTGTTGTACGTCGGAAAAAGCTTCAGACGCAGCTTGGCAAAATATGCTTTATCAGGCAGGTCTGGCTAATGGCGAGCGGCGTGCGCGAGCTTCTACTGCAGTCACCGATCATCGTCGTCTTCTTCATTGCCAGCAGAGCGTCCGTTATTCAGATTGATTAATTCATTACAATATATATATATATATATATATATATATATATATATATATATATATATATATATATATATATATATATATATATATATATATATACTCAACCTTATTTATGAGTGCTCTCTTATCGTAACTGAAAGGTAGGAAAGGTCAGCTTTTTTTCATCAATATGCCACAGCACTCCCTTCCTTAACTCTTCCGGTCGGGTGACTCTATACTTGTGCCGAATAGGGCTACTGAAACTCTCTAATTCCCTCTTCTGAACAGAGACTACTCCCCGTACGTACTTGTAACATGCTTCAAGCAGGCTAAGGAACTTCAATAAATTAAACTTCTGTTCGATCTAGTTGATACATGGCATTTAAGGTGAAAGCTTCAGCGCAAACCATGATTGTCCACAAGGTGCCGGTGCTCGTCTCTCCTTTTTTTTTGCGTTTTTGTGGTTCGTGATGATTTGCGCTAAGGTTGTCACCTTAAGGGCCAAGGGAAATACGTTTGAAACACCGCGTGAGCAGTTTTTCGCTCACAGCTGCGAAAGAAGTTGCCAGCGCTTTATTTATTCTAGACACAGTGGAGGTAACTTCACCACTTTTTCTGTATATAGATATGTGTACGGATTTTTTCGCCGGTCACCGACATTGCTCCTAAACTGTGCACCATACACTGATAATGAGTACTATAAGGTATTTTTGGCTACACTTGTCATTAATAAGGGGACTCAGATAATGAGGCAGTTACAGCGTATGCGTGGTATACTAACTATGGGTAGCTATAGCTACAAGCTTGCTTATACTTATTAGTGGTAGCTGCAGTTACAGACAATGATCTTCGGCGACTTTGTGGTGAAAAAAAAATAAACTTGAGGAGGCAGTGGCGTTGGTATGTTTCGGTCAACGGGGGGGGGGGGGGGGCGCTCTTTTGATTTGACATGTGATCCAGACAGGTTATGTGTGGTCGAGTGTCATTTTGTGTTTTGTATCTTTTGGGATAAATTAATTACGGAGGCGGTGTGGGGCTTGGTGTGGCACCCTTTGGTTATGTCAACGTGAGCACGAGCTGAACTGCGAGGAGGAGGCACGCATTCCAACAACTAGGGAAACGCTTCACAAGTATGAAACGCTGCAAAATGGAGTATGGATCGACATGTGCGTCTATAGGATAGGTGGTGTTTTCCCCATGCGGACTCGTGTTCGCGTCGCAAGATTTCAGACTAAAATCTTAAATTTACTAGATGAAATGAACGTTTAATTTCCTGAAACAGTGTTCCTGAGCTCGAGAGCTCGGGATCACCCTATAGGAAAATGTAATTAAATATTCCAACATCACTCGTGGGGAAACTTAATTTGTTATGCAACTAAGGTAATGTCGACGAACGCTTTATTATTATTATTATTATTATTATTATTATTATTATTATTATTATTATTATTATTATTATTATTATTATTATTATTATTATTATTATTATTATTATTATTATTATTATTATTATTATTATTATTATTATTATTATTATTATTATTATAGTATTTACATTAGAAGCAAAAACGTACTTTCGGTTACAAGGGAAACCACGCAGAATGACATTCCTGCACAGTCACAAGGACTTACTATGGAAATACCGTGGCATGAAAACCCCATGCATAGACATAATTATACGGGATGACACGCTGAAGAGAGGACCGGGAGGGTTAGGTGTAGCTATACTGCATACGGATTGCACACTGTAGTGCATACGGAATGCAAACACTAGTAGATGCATCAGTATGGGCATAAATACAAGTTTTTAATGGACGTTAACACATTAAAAACTAAAGCATTTTTTGTTATATATGACTCACATATGCGAAACAATCCTTAGCGGTAATTAAGTTGCAGGACAGACTGTTGATGAGTTCAGGAATAAGTGCCAAAATGTCCTTTTTTTTGTGTGTGGCGATGTTCAGTACAAAAATAAGAGATCGTAAGAAAAAATGACTAATGCGCTGTAAACCTGCGCTTACAAGATACAGCGATCGTAGAGGAAGGGGGGGGGAATAAATCAGCTTTTGAGTTTTACTTACTGATTCACCACAACGCTGAATGTAACATCGTCCTCTTGCAGGACCGCCAGTCGCCTCATGGCATCTCCTTTCACGATTTTTTGTCCGTTGTCAACGACTTGGACAACTTGCCGAGCGTTTTTGAGCAGCAGCCGGTACTTGTCAGCCATCGCTTTGTCCGTTCCAGCAGCGACTGAGTTCACGCCGCTTCCGATAAGCAAGTTTTATAGCGGCGAGGAATTTATACCCGGGCTGGCGACCTCTGAAAGATTTGGCCGTGGCAGCCCGCGCAGGTCGTCTAAAGACACAAGGCTAAAGTGAACGAAGCGGTAATCTTTCCAGCATATTTTTTTTTTTTCATGGAGATAACAGTTTAAAGAAAATTTAAACACTGCTGCCCGTCTCGCTTTCGAATCGGCGCCATTATCACTTCAGGATATCGACGTAGCCGGAGATGTGGGAGGTCGTAGTCTATTCACTTGAAGGCAGTGGCGTAGACAAATGTTTACAGGGTTGGTTCATCTAAACTGTATGTATGTTAGTGCGCGCGTTTGTGCGCATGTGTGTATGTATATGCACGCCACAGGAGTGCGCATGGGAAGGGGGTGTCATGGGAAGGGGGCGGCTTCTCCCCTTAATCACATAAGAGGTGGAGGGGGGGGGGGGGGCTCAAAGTCAGCGCCGTACGTTTACATAATATGGGGGGGGGGGGGGTTCTCTGCGTCGAGACATCGCCTCCCCCTTGAAAAGGAACCTTGCGTACGCAAATGTACTACAATGCTAAGTTTAAAACACAGTGGGCTGAGGGGGGAGGGGGTTGAACGCCCCACCCACCAACTCCCTAGGCTACGCAACAGCTTGCTTAAGGTCTGGAGGACCACCCACATTTCACTCATTTTTGCGCCCACAGTACACCCGTACGCACGCGCACATAGTGATACAAGCCTCTCCACCCCATCCCAGTTTTTTTTTTTTCAGGAATCAAACAGCGACTACACTTCAGCCTAAAAGCGTCCTTCTACTGTGTCGCCAAGAAAGATGTGAGGGTGAGGGGGGGAGAGGTTCTGTTACCTGCACTCATGTAACTCATCTATACTTTAGACGTACTACAGTTCCGTCTATAGTTTTCGTGGTGTTTGTGTGACCCACAACGCAGGTGACCATCCGCAAATTCCTCCACCTTGCTCGTTCATTTACGCGTTCGTTCATACATCTTTGTGTTTGGCCAATGTATGCGCAGCCGCAACATATTCATAGCTGCGAGTGGTGATATTGATTTGTTTCAGGGTACCGTCTGTCTCGCTTACACGTAAATAATTCGCTTTTTCAATGGTGCATTAGGAAGCAATAGACGAGTAATGCCTGGAGTGACACGTGAGCTTTTAGGGGCGAAGTTCATTAGGGTTGTGGGCTCATTACCCTCGTGGTATGTTGTAGTATAGCCACTTCCACTGGGGCCGGCACTAGAGAGGCTAGATCAGCTGTGCCACCACAGAACACCTATATACTACCACTTGGAGCCACTTCTAGTTAGTTTTAAGAATTGCGCACTAGATGGCGATGTATGTATATGCCATTGGAAATAGAAGATAGCATTAGTGGTTTTATGGCCTCCGAGATAGCGGGCGCGTGGCGTGTCACCGACAAGAGGGTTAAAGATTTATTTAAACCTCCTTGGTCGCCCCGCCACGCGCCCGCCATCTCGAAGGCCATGGTGGCTTTTGTATAGTTGACGGTTAAAAAGGATAGATGACGCTATTATAAGAAATTCACAGCATGTTCACGGCGTGAATGATAATGAGAGGGACGAAGGGTCCGTCCGATGCGTACTCTAGTGTGATTGGAGTGGACGGACCAAATATCCTCCTTGGGACGGACGGAAGGACAGACAGACGGACGTTTCACCCCGCTCACCTTCATTCATCTATATATGTGTTCGCTTTTCCGAATAAACGCTTAGTTGAAGTTAAGCGCTTGTGTCATGCCTTCTTTCTTGCTGTCCCTGTGTATCTTCACGCTTCCTACAATGATGGGCCAGAGGATGGGTCGTAGCAAGCGCGTTTACAAATCGCTCCGCAATAAGCAGAACCTGGCGACGTGATTTGAAACTCGCACACATCGTGAATGACGCAAGAGCGCCGCGACACGGCCGCTCACAACAGGAACCTCGAACACCTTGGCACCACCTACGGTTGGCACACTCACTATGTTCTCACTCCACTATGTTTTATCTCGACCGTACTACCCATAGAGTTAATAAAACGACTGTATGTTAACTCTTTGGTACTACCAAATAGTTAGAACCTCGAACACCTTGGCACCACCTACGGTTGGCACACTCACTATGTTCTCACTCCACTATGTTTTATCTCGACCGTACTACCCATAGAGTTAATAAAACGACTGTATATTAACTCTATGGTACTACCACTGCGTATTGTAGAGTAGAGATGCCAGAGATGCAAGGGCGCACATATGCAAGAGACCCAGTGGGAGGCACAAAGGCTACGGTACAGAGGCGAGCAGTCTTAGTTACCTTCATAATAGAAACTTGGAGTTTACTACGACGGTAGGGGCGTCCACGAAATCTCACGCACGTCACCTGTCCATCATTTTCAAATCACCAAATAGGGAAGGACATGTCATGGCTTGCTGACGAATTGTAAAATATGCTTATAAACACTATATATATATATATATATATATATATATATATATATATATATATATGCAATTGTTTTTCTTTCATGTCAGGCGCTATCGATCGAAATCGAAGCACACGAACTTGTGTGGCCTGTGCGCAACGGTCTTGGAGGCCATATAAACACGGCCACTCGATGAAAACCCTGCCATAAAGGAGCCCTGACACACACACACACACACACACACACACACACACACACACACACACACAAACATTTTGTTTTGTTATTGTTGTTGTTGCAATGGGTAGCTTATGACCCACTTATCACGGCTGGAAACCTTCTTGCGCGGCGATGGTTACATTATGTAGAGACGTTTTTTAGAACGCACAGTCTCAGTTTCGGTTTCAAAGACCACCAGGCGGAAAAAGTTCCGGTGGTAAGGTAAACACATCTGGCAACGTGACCACGCAAAGACTGTAACGTGGGCGCCGCGCGCAACAGCGTGCGCTGCAGTGACAGCCAGAAGACTCTTGCATGGAGTTAATATACCAGACTGTTGAATCTATGTAGCAGAGTCAGCACACGCGAAGCCACCGGCACGGAGGAGGAGATCCGAGGTACTGCAAACGCAATTGAAGGGCGTGCCAGCAATCGGTCAACACAAACTTGTGACGTAGATTTGTTTACACTGCCTCTGCGTTGATATCAGTATAGTGGCTAGAAAGGTTCCTTTCTGGCCACTATAATGTCGACGTCGTGAGGCACTTCTCATCTAGCCCATGCTGTCGTGCGGCGTGCGCTTTAAAATTGATCTTAAATATGTTCTATGCTCTACTGCCATTGATATCTCGAAAATATTGTGTATGTCTCCACGTAAATGTATTTTTCGCTCATTATCTCGCCTTCAAAACTTTGTTTAAGTGCTGCTATAAGGAAGGAAGAGCGGCAAGAGCTAAGGCAGAGAGGTTAACCAGGTACATGCGTACTCCTATAACGTTGTCGAACGCAGCGTTATATATCAATGCTGCGAACGAGCTCGCGCAGAACACATATGTAGGCATATGCACCGTACATGATCGGTTGCGTTGAATTTACAGGATCGAAAGTAACAGAACGACGACAAAGAGACAAGACGAGCGCTCGTCTCCTTCTTGTCTCTTTGTCGTCGTTCTGTTCTCGCACTATAACTATCGTCATGATTGTCATACCAACTAGCCCTAACTGCCACGCTTTTAAGTCGAAAGTTTATCTCTTGCCAAGCGCAAACACACACAGATCTCGACATACACGTAAGCCGGCGCGCGCACCAGGGGCGTAGCCAACGGATGGCACGCCGGACACGTGCCCCCCCCCCCTTCCTCCCCGAAATTTATTTTTTTTTTGCCATGGCATAGAGAGCGAAAAAATGACCTCCCCCCCCCCTCCCGGAGGCACGCACGAGGCTTACAGGGATGGAGGCACTGCGCTTGAGCCGTGTTTCGGTATTACCGTGGGTATACAGTGCACCAGTATAAACTGTATTCGACGGCATACGTTTCCTCTGATAATTAAACAGCTGGAAATTATTGCGATGGCGATATGAAAAGGCAAACGACTAGAAGCCACACTAAGATTTTTAACCGACCGCCCCCCACAAGTGAGTTCCTCCAGAGTAGGGAGGCGGGGAACTTTCGTGTTGCTGTCCAATTTCTCAATTTCATTACCCCCGGTTTTATGAAAATTCACATGCATAGTTCAAAAGGTGGCTTAAGGTCGAATATGTTTCTTATTAAAAGGGACCCTGCGACAGAAATTAAGCGTGCTGTTTTCATCGCATATTCTGGAACTGTGGAGTGCACCAATATTAGTGGTAGTTGTTCTCTGACCTGTGACTTGATCTTTCCAAGGCTGACTAGAGGAGGGAAGGGAGTACGGGGTGTGTGCATCGAGGTTATCAAAACACTCTAATGGTAATTAGGGTTCCTCGAAGCGCGCCCCTCCGCCGCAGCCTTAGGAGACAGGTGCATCGCGGAACCCTAATGGTAATAGTACAGCAGCCCTTTTAGCGTCAGCTCACTGCGAAAGCGCTACAATTTTTGCTTCACTGCAAACATATATTTTCATTACTGTATGAAACTCTAAACTGCAAAGTACCAGAACTCAACTTCACTACTTAAAGGGAAAAAAAGAGAAAATAAATCCAGTTGTTGGTTCACTAAGTAATACGGCTATAGGTGGTGGTAACTGCTGCCCATTCTAATGATCATGGATATATGTGAAAGGCATGATTTCATAATTTTCAACAGTACTGAGAAGTGCGAAGGGCAAATAACATGGGAGGTGGGAAGGATGCAGTCAACGACAGATTACGCACTGATTTCACATAGGATGTCAAGCTCAGGGGAATGCACATAATGAAGGTGGCTCCAGAAGTCTGGGTAGTGGTCACAAAAGTATCAAGCTAAGTTTTGGAAGAGCAGCGAAAGTGGGAAGGAGATAAGATGAGCAACTACAGGAAAGCTTAATTCAGAAAGGCAGATAGAAATTGCTACTAAACAAATTGAGAAAATAATCACTGAGGATAATAAAACAGTGTGGACATGCACAAATCTAATTCGACTGTTTGGGCAAGAGCTTGCTAAGGCACGTTACAAGTCACCTCGGAAAAGAAGACACAAGCCCAAGAGTTGGTGGGATGAGGAAGTTAAGAGAACCATAGCAAAACGTCAGGAAGCCTCTAGGGAACACAGACACGCTAAGCAGCGGGGTGAATTGACAGATGATGTTGAAAGAAAATGGGACATCTTTCTAAGCTCTAGAAGGAAAGCATCCCTCCTAATCAATGAAAAGATCAAAAGAAAGGGGGCTCATTGGCTGACAGAAGTACATAAAAAGAACGGAAAGGCAGCTGCGAAAATTTGGAACCATCTAAACTCCCTAAGAAATAAAACAAGCCTAGAGCAGAGGTTTATAACTACAGCTCAAGGTGCTGGGCTAGAAGGGAACGAAGCTATTGAATATTGTCACGCGCTAGGAGCTCGAAGAAACGTACAAGGAGGCGCGACTGTCAAAATCTGAGACACAACGAAAACGTCTCTGCTGGCACGGGTCGCTCGTCTTTGTGTTCTTCGTTCACTGGCACAGAACTAGCTCACTGTTCACTGGCACAGAACTATAGCTCACTGTTCACTGGCACAGAACACCGGGTGGCATTACTCCTTCCAAAGAGCATCGACTTGATGCTCAAGAAAAGTGTGCACAGCAGTTTTGTCGCACCCGATCCATAGTTCTCGAGTAGCCCAGATGGCCGGATGTGCGCTCGTCATGGCAAGCTAATAAGACGTCATCGTGGAGGGCTTCAGGCACGACGAGAAGATGCGATCTGTCACCAGCACTGGTGTTCTTTTTGTACAAGACGCCATTTGTAGGCAAAATGATGGCAACGTTCGTGACATCGGACGAGGAATAGGCGCGTTGCCACCTTCTAAGTGATCTATAATCATTCTTAGATCGGCGTCATTTTGTTGATGAGACATCAGATCCGGCCCGCTCAGAGTTGCGACGAAGGCACCGTCCTCTTCTGCGCTTGTACAGGCGGATTGAAGAGGTGCTCGTGATAGCGTGTCGGCATCTTCGTGCTTTTTGCCTGACTTGTACACTGACTGGTGACATCAAATTTCCTGTAGGCGCAGACTCCATCGTGCTAATCGTCCGGAAGGGTCTCGTAGATTGGTCAACCAGCACAAAGCATGATGATCAGTCACCACTTTAAATAGTCTTGCGTAGAGATATGGCCTAAACTTTGTAATTGCCCAAATGACCGCGAGACATTCTTTCTTGATGTAGAATAGTTAGATTCTGCGCGAGACAGTGTGCGACTTGCGTAGGCTATTACCCGTTCAATGCCATATTGTAGTTTCCTGCGTTGCAGTGTTGTACGCAAATGTTACGTACGGCAGGATGTCGTCCCACGTTTTGTGCTGCACATCCACGTACATCGAGATCATGTCGGCTAGCGTTTTGTTTAGCTATTTCTGTTAAATGATTACTCTTAGGGTGATACGCAGCGGTCTTTCGATGGGTTGTATACTCAACCTGAAGATATCATCCAAGAGCTTCGCTGTGAATGATTTCCCTCGATCAGTGATGACATAATGTCACCTGGTGTTCTGTGCCAGTGAACAGTGAGCCAGTTCTGTGCCAGTGAATCGAAGAAGACAAAGACGAGCAACCCGTGCCAGTGAAGACGTCCTTCGTTAAGTCTCAGATTTTGACAGTCGCGTTTCCTTGTACGATTCTTCAAGCTCCTAGGTGCGTGACAACTGGTGGAGGTGCGGGGTACCCTATGCACCGAACTCCTCCCAGTACAAGAAGCTCCAGCCCCATACCGGTGTTTACGCCTGTTCACCGTGCTAGCCGAAGGATCCGTGGACTGGGCCCCGAGTTCAGACTTCTCTTAGAGAGGATGACGGCCCCAACTATCCCAGGCAGCGCCGTCCCAAGTGGCAATATATAAGAACCCAGGTAGCAATACATAAGAACAAGGGTGACAGAAAATTTTCAACAAAGAAGTGCCCTATGCATCACAATGGACAAGGATGGATCAAGTGGCGCAATGGCTCCAATTTCACAACGAGAGTGGGAAAGAGCTGAGAAGAGGGTTCCAAGTAGTACATCAACAGGCCCAGATGGCATTCCAATTATGCTGATAAAGACATTGGGTCCGAAGTCGAAACAGACTTTGCGAGAGGCAGTGAGCAGAACTATAATCGATGGTGAAGTCCCCGATGGATGGAAACTTAGCAGCATGAGCATGATCTATAAAAGAAAGGGGGACAAAGCTGACATAAACAACTACCGTCCTATAACAGTGACATCAGTGGTCTACAGGCTGGCGATGCAGATTATAAAGGAAAGACTGCAGGCGTAGATAGAGGATGAGGGGGAGCTGGGAACTCCAGAATGTGTTTCAGAAACGCAGGAGGTTGGAAGACAATCTGTTCTCGCTGAAGCAGTGCATCGAAATAGCAGAAAAGGAACACAGGCCCCTGTGGCTGGCATTTTTGGACATCAAGGGAGTGTACGATAGCGTGGTTCAAGACGACTTGTGGCGAATACTGGACACACTAGGGTGGAAGATGGAGTCACTAATCTTTTAAAGGATATCTATAACAGTAACAAGGTAGTTATAAAAATGGAAAAAAACAGGTATTCAACCCCACAGAGATAAAACGGGGGCTTAGACAGGGGTAAACAGGTATCTAACCCCACAGAGATAAAACGCGGGCTTAGGCAGGGGTGTCCTCTATCAACCTTGTTATGCATGATGTACCTACAAGGATTAGAGGCCAAATTACAGGAAAGTGTACTTGGCTCCAACCTGAATTTCATCAAACAAGGTAAGCTCATTGAACAAGTACCTATACCAGCATTGATGTACGTAGATGATATAGTGCTAATGGCTGACAACAAGGAATATTTGCAGAGATTGGTGGACATCTGCGGTAATGAGGCAGATAGCTTAGGTTTCAGATTCAGGAAGGAAAAATCAGCAGTCATGATTTTTAATGATTATGAAGGTTGTGAGCTTAGGATACAGGAAGTCACGCTAGAGATAACAAATAAATACAAATATCTGGTCGTATGGATAAGCAATGGAACCGAGTACCTAAGGGAACCCGAAATTTACGTGACGACCAAAGGTAACAGGAATGCAGCAGTGATGAAAAATATGGCACTGTGGAATTACAATAAGTTTGATGAATTGTGAGAGGAATATGGAAAGGGATCATGGTTCCTGTGCTGACGTTCGGCAATGCGGTCTTGTGCATGAGATCAGAAGTTCAAGCAAGATTATAAAATGAAGCAACATAGAATATGTAGGCTTGCTTTAGGAGCTCACGGGAATACACCAAATCAGGGAGTACAAGGTGATATGGGATGGACATTATTTGAGGGGCAGGGAAGCTAGCAGCAAGATAAAATTTGAGAAGCGATTGAGAGAAATGGTGGAGGAGCGTCGGGCTAGGAAGGTTTTCAGCTACTTGTACATCAAGAATTTTGATACAAAATGGAGGAATGGAGGAAGAGAACCAGGAAATTGACTGGTAAATACATTGAAAACAGCAGGTGGCCAAACCAAAAAGAACTATCGGTTAAGAAGAATGTGAAGGAAACGGAGACATGTGAAGAATTGGCATGATTAAGAAGTTTGCACTAGATATTTATCGAACTTTTAAGCAGGAAATTGCCAAGGAAAGGATCTATGATAATACTCAGGGTAGTTCTCTACTGTTTGAGGCCAGGACGGGAGTATTGCGAACCAAGACATATCGGGCCAAATACGAAGGGGTAGACACGGTATGCAGTGCATGTGGAGAGGAGGAGGAAACAGCCGGACACTTGATAATGTTCTGTAAAGGGCTTCACCTTATAGTTGAGGATGATGGCGCAGAGTCTTTCAAAGCACTGGGGTTTAGGGTCAGGGTGGGCAAAACAGACTTTAAACGGGTAGAATTATCTAGAAGAAGGTTATCTGATTGGTGGTTAAAGTCAAGCCACGAGTGAAAATTAAACCCTTCACTTCAAAGTACCAATCCTCAACTTCACTACTTAAAGAGAAAAAAAAACATAAAACTAACGGTTAGTTCACTAATTATTACGGCTAAGTGGCGTTAGCCGCCACGCAATCTAAAGGGTACGTTAGAAGTGTGGCAGCTTGGGCTCGTCGGTATGGCATGACGATAGTTATGGCGCCGAAAGACGCGAGCGCTCGTTGTCGTTTTGTTCTCGCGCTATAACTATCGTCATGCTAAAGGGTCAGCCACATCCATCCATCCATTCATACTTCAAAGGTTACAGCGCAAGTTTTTATATCCTCCTTGGTTACAGCACGGAGGCCTTCCTCCGTGGGTTACAGCCATATCAATCCAACTAGTTCCATCCTAAGCCACTGTACCGACTGCGCGTGAAGAAGTCGGCCAACGTTGGGTTTGAAATATGGCTGTGACGGTTGGGTAGTTGTGGATGTCCGTGTTCATGCAGAATCACGTTCAACCAGTGCATACTTCTCATTCTGTGTGATTGCGGACGCCGCCAAGAAGACAGGCTGGATCGGATTGCGGTGTGAAACAAAGTAGCGGCCATGATAGTTCAAGAGCCGGTTCAGGTAAGGTGGTGCTAAACCTTCGCACTCGCCTATCAGCCTCGAAGCACTCGTGCATCCTTCGCGTTGTCTTGCTTTTTTTTTTTTCCTTTTCTGTATGTGCTTGATCGAAGTCGTCTCTACGCATCAGGAGTAACTGTTATTTGCGTGTAGCTGTCAAATTACCTTGAAGCGGTCGTAGATGTGCAGGTGCTAACGCGAGAACGGGGAAGGATAAACAATTCTGCACGGACGTTAACCCAGCGTACCCTCATCATGATGCCATGCTCGTAGCAAGTGCTATGGATGTGCGCGTGATTGGCGTAGTTGCGTGAGGGACGACCGTTAGGAACTAGTGAAACCTGCTTTTACTCCATGCGATGAATGGACAGTCGCAAGGCTTTGGACCAGCTTAGACACCAAGTAGGCTTAAATGATGTGGTGAGAAGCTAAACAAGCACCGTGTGTATCTCTTGTAGTCATCATAATACGATGAACTCTACCTCAGAGCTCGTGTTTATCGGTAACAAGTAAACACGCCCACAAAGTAGTAGTGGTGCGTGATATCGTTAATAATAACCACTTAGTTGCAGAAAATAAACCAGTGCTCCTGCATTTTCGCTTTCTATTCCGCTACTAGTGTACCTTGTAATAGTTTATTGCTCACTTTTAAAATTATCTGTAAGTGAATGTTTAGGCATCATGGGCACTTATGCTAATCCTTTTACTTTTAAATCAAGTATGTATTGTGTAACAACACTACATCTGTTAAAGATGTATGCAAATGGCTGCGTTTTTTTTTACGATAAAGATATACATGCTGTTGAGTTAGTGTACTTTATGTTTACTGCTGATGCACAGAGACTACTTGTGAAGCTTGCCGACAACACGACACGACTGTTATAATGCATAAGTATATGTTGAAAAATAAGCATAGCACCGTGTAAAGGCTGAATTTGCCTAATGAATTCCAAGCTTATTTGGCGGAACTATGCTTCAGCATAGTAGGCCTCCTCGTCGCAAAGTGTTTAAACTGTTTTTATATTGCGTGCAGTGTCTCAGTTAAAACCTAGCTTGTCGAGTTCTTGTATACATGAAAAGCTAGGCAAGTGTTTATATTGTTTTCAGTTAAATGTGTGCTTGTTTTTGTACACTGTAGCTTGTGCTATGAAGGCACATAAAACTTTTCATGTAGCTCATGTTCGCTTTGAGAAAGAAGTACATACCATCTGTTGTATTATTCGATGTAATGGAATTCTGGTAATTTTATGTTACCAGATACAGCCTAATACTGCATCGTCCACCTGAACTGGCGATGCTTTGTAGTGTTTGCTGGGTTCAAGATAGTGTGCCCAGGAGCACATGTAGCCTACTAAGCATGTTAACCCTGTGCACATTGTCTTAAACTAGCAGTGATGCTGGTACGTGCAGTGTTTCTTTGGGTGCGTCTGTAGGTCTTTTTAGTTAGCTGCAGATCAGTGAGATCACAAAAAGGGACCGGCTAAGTCGTGATTCATCACTTCTCCTGGTACATGAAACAACCAAGTCTGTTTTCATGCCATATATTATCAAAAACCCCTATAATGAATCAAGGGGTTGTCATAACTGTAGTTGTGTGAAAGACATTTGTCGAATTCAGAGATTTCCCATGGTTTCTCGACTGACATGGGAGAAGGAATGTCGTCTCGTGTTCGGTTGGCTTGTCTCATTCGTTGCGAAAGTATTTGCAAAAGTATTTATTGACTAAATATAGTGTGCATCAAAGTGTAACTGTGGCCACCATCTTTAGGTACCAGCTAATAATAATTGTTGAGGCTTAACGTCCCAAAACCACCATATTATTATGAGAGATGCCGTTGTGGAGGGCTTAGGAAATTTCGACTACATGGGTTTCTTTAACATGCACCGAAATCTGAGCACATGGGCCTCAAGAATTTTCGCTTCCTACCGAAAATGCGGCCGCCGCGGCCGGGATTCTATCCCGAGAACTGCAGGTCAGCAGCCAAGTGCCTTAGCCACTAGACCACCGAAGCTGGTATTCTCGGTCCCAGCTAGTTGAGACGCCATGTGCACTCCTACTGGAACGTTCAAAGCGAGAAACTGACTACGGAGTAGTGCCAGTGGCCCTTGTGCTACTTCATGTTCACTCGTTGTGTGGCTGACTAACAGAAGAAAGCACCTAGAAGCATAAAAGGACACGAAGGCCGAACGACCGTGTATCCTCCCCTCCACAGGCCCTCGCTAATAAGATAAAAATGCGCATGCGCCATCATTTCTGCAGTGATGGAAGTACTGCTCCAATTGCTCCAAACGGCTCCAAAAGAGAAATGCTGCTCCATGCTGCTTCTAAGTGCAATATTTGCTAGTAACTGCCCCAAACCTGCTCCAAAAGGATGTTGGCAAACTAACAAGAATGAAGTTAAACCATGGGAACATACCGTTAGCCTAAGCGAAACCAAAAGAAAGCTGTATACACTATCATCCTAGTGTGCTACTCAGTGCCGTAAATCTAGAAAAACCTGAAGGGGTGACACATATTAAGCCATGGTGTCCAATTCATGTTTTTAATATGGGTTGTATATTTATTCATATATGAATTAAATCATGCTTTCAAATAAAATTAAACAGAAACAAGCATGGGGTTCGAGCTCGAGAAGTTGCATTGTTCTATTCACTCTCTTTTTTTCACCTTTTTTCGATTTCCATAGTTCACACAACAGAGGGGCATTTAACACAGGTACACAGTAAAAGATAAAAGCCTTTTAAACAGCTGATTGTGCTATACTGAACTGTTAACTCAATTATATCACGTGGTAAACCTAAATCTCAAGGGGGGCAGTTGCAAGGGTTGTCCTCCCCAACTTGAACAGAAGGGAAGTCCGGACTCTCTTGACCTCCCCCTTCCTGCCAACTGTACTGTTGTTATACTAGCTACGGCATGTTTAATAATAAATATAAATATTTATTAGATGCTTAAGGGATGTTTTAGACAGCGGGAGTCATTAGGAACATGCATCTGCTCCGAAAACACCAACAGCAACTCTAAGCTATAGCATTTTTTTTCTACTCTGAAGACACTTAAGACTGCTCCGAAGCACCATTTTTTCTGCTCCAGAATCTGCTCACAAAAGCGAAATGTCGCTTCCATCACTGTTTCTGGATACCCAGTGCTGAGGACCTGCCTGTGACATCATGTGAACATTTTGTATACCCGCAAGTTTTTCACATCTTGGTACTGTGAGACTAGAGCCCCATAAAACTGAGTATTGTCAGGCGTGAAAGGAGCCAAATAACTTTACAAAGGTTGACAGCATCTGCACACTATATATATATAGATTTCACGTGATGTGTCACGAATAGGTTCTCTGTGCTGGTACCCCAACATGGTGTCCACCGTGACTTTTTAATCTGTGTGTCAGTGCAGAGGCGGACACCCAGTTTCGTCCCCGATTTTGTGCTCCCCCCGCTTTCTTCTGTTCGCCACCAATAAAATGATCCCGCGTGCCTACTCGAGGCCGATGAGCACGTGCCGACTACTTACCCGAAAAACCCATTAAAGGGTCTTTTCCTGTTTTTACCCAGACTTTTGTAGCTTCAGAGTGTGGAATAAAACATATATGCTTTCGATATCTTCTCTGACTCGGGAATTTCGTGCATTGTAACCAAGGTATTATATTTTAGGACCATGCTGCTACTTCACAGAGTGGTGCACATAGTAAATTCAAGAATTTAATGTCTCATAAGGGATTGTTCAGTGTTCGATGTGATTTTCCATCTGCATTCCTCGTGACATTTACTTTTGATATTTTACGTGTTTTGCAGGCAGCCATATGGCATTGTCTCAATCATTATGCCTTCTCAGATGCCATCTTTCTTGCAGAACGGCTTTATGCAGAAGGTAAGATGATTTTTTTTTGCTTCACTAATCCAAGTTGTGTTACAGGGAGTCTGCTATTCAAGAAATTCTTATCATTTGATGAGCCCTGAAGTAATATATGTGCATTACAGTGATCACAAAAATGGCACATTAGTTTACAATGAAAGGTTTTTCATTGACCACTTAGAGGTCGTGGGTTCGTTATTGTCAGACCAGGTTGAGTGCGCTGTATTCCTCGGCATTATAAAACTTGTTGAAAAAAGGAACTATACCGATGGCTGGATTCTTATGGGCAAGAATTGGCAGTGTCACCACTTTGAAACAGCACCTATGCAGGCATGACAACACCTGACCACTCATGCTTGTATGGGTGGTCACGTCATGTCACGATTGGTCATGAGCCAATTTGTTGTACCTTTGACTTATGCCATGCTGACTGCTGCTATGATGAGATCCTACCAATGATTGTAATCTGTAGCAGAATGACTTGCAAATCAAATGGCATTTTTCTTACGAATGATTTGCTTTTGCGGCACTCTTTCTTTTTATACAGAACGTGTGAAATCAATTGTGTACTGTCGGTGTTAAATGAACCACGAATAGTGGCAAGAATTCACAGTGGTATAGTGCACGCCGTCCAGTCATCACAGTGGAAAAGCGCCTGAATCCTGTTTGGCAGCTATCAGTATATGCGCGCACATGTCCATAGATATGACTGGACTGTGCATACTATACCATTGCAAATGCTTGCTACTGTTAGCGTTGTAAATGCTAACAAATGCTAAATGTTAGCGTTGCTACTGTTACCATTGCAAATGCTTGCTACTGTTAGCGTTGTAAATGCTAACAAATGCTAAATGTTAGCGTTGCTACTGTTACCATTGCAAATGCTTGCTACTGTTAGCGTTGTAAATGCTAACAAATGCTAAATGTTAGCGTTGCTACTGTTACCATTGCAAATGCTTGCTACTGTTAGCGTTGTAAATGCTAACAAATGCTAAATGTTAGCGTTGCTACTGTTACCATTGCAAATGCTTGCTACTGTTAGCGTTGTAAATGCTAACAAATGCTAAATGTTAGCGTTGCTACTGTTACCATTGCAAATGCTTGCTACTGTTAGCGTTGCAAATGCTAACAAATGCTAAATGTTAGCGTTGCTACTGTTACCATTGCAAATGCTTGCTACTGTTGACTCTGATAGTACATTCACTAGCAATGAAAGTGACAGAACTTTAATGTCATTTTTAAATACTTCAGGGCTTTCAAAACTCTTGCATGGTAGGGTAATTAGCGGCACCCTCTGAAGTCTTGTGAACGTGTGTAACAAGTTCTTTTTAGTGTTATTGCTGCCACACTTCTTCCATATACACTCAAGGAATCGCATTATAGCTGGCATTTTAATGGAGACAGAATGCTAAATGTCTGTGGGATTTAGGTGGTCCGCTTAAAGGGACACTAAAGGCGAGAAAAATTGGCAGATCCCACATACTGTGGGAATCGATTATACGCGAAGAACGAATGAGGAAGGTTAATATGTCACTTTAAAATGAGCACAACATTACGAGGTGGACGTAAATGATGCTGCACATGACTTCCATGTCATGATTGTCATGTTTGGATGTGTCATTTACCTTCATCGCCTGTTCACGTCACGTAATACCCAAATTTTCTACGTGTGGAGCTAGTGAAACGGCCGCAAGCACGCTATGAACGTAGCATGTAGTCATGTTTTACATGACATGCATATCTTGATTATCATGTTTGGATGTGTCAGCTTCTTTGTCCATTCACGTCCCCTGATACCACTTATGTCACTTATGTCTGTCACTTATGTTTGCTATGCAGTCATGTCATACCCTATCAGTTTTGCAAAACGTGATGTGTACAAAACTACAGCAACAGCAGCAAGACCATGAAATGTAAATCATGACATACAAGTCATGAATTTCTTGTTATGACTAATCAGTAATGCTCGTCATGCCGCCATGTTATGCCATACCAATTTCGGTATCGATACCATTATCGAGACGGCCAGGAGAACTAAAAGTCGCAGGCGGCGAAATAGATAGATACGCTCAAAGTCGGTGTAGTTCCCCAATGAATGCTTCAAATTTAATATTAAATTGACGTTGACTGTTGAAATAGTGGTCCAGAAACCTCGTAGAGATACTTTTGTGCCATGAAAGTGCTTATCTTGAAATAAATTATGCTTTAGTGGTCTGCATCACATTAGCGCACTTCAAGTCACTCGCCTGAAGCCGTTCTTTCTGATGTCACTGTTTCTAATGTTTCCCGCCTTCATAACGGGGCTGCCGCCACTAGTATCAGCACAGCGAAAGTAGCGGGAGCTACAGCAGTAACAACGGTCATTGAACAATTTTCCGCTTGCTTGGTTGAACTTTAGAACCGCTCGCGCCATTCCCCATATTAATGCCAGGTGATTCATTTTTCTATAAATCCAACAGAAATGGACAAGCAGCATTTTATTATGTCTCTTGTTGCACGAAGGTTCTCTTTTTATTGCAGCTAGTTTGCTTACTGGTTATTGCAGTCGAACGCTATCACGTCATCAGGATCATTTTTAAAATGTCCCACTCATTGCACACGTCGTGTGATACATTTAGCCTAATTTATTAGTAAGTAGGGCGCTGATGTCGATAATATTGCTGCTTTAAAGATTGTCATACATTGGGCTTTCACTCTGACCAATTTTTATTTGCCTTTAGTGTCCCTTTAAGAACCCCAGATGGTCAAAATTTATGACCAGCTTTTATGATAATGATTATGAGAGATGCCTTCCCTGTGGCATCTTTCATAATCGTATTGTTGTTTTGAAACGAAAAACATCGACAAATATTTTGCTAATATTTTCAGTACACACGGACGAAAGCCTGCATCTTCTAGCCACTTGCCATTACCGAGCGGGGAACAAGGTGTCGGCATACAAGCTGCTCCGTTCGCGCGGGTGCCGCTCGCCGCAGAGTCGCTTCCTCTTGGCGCGCTGTTGCATTGACCTGCGCAAGTTTGCCGAAGCCGAGTCGGCGCTCTACGGCGATGTCGGCCTGTCGTCGCGCAGCTCAGCCAAAGGAGGTCTTGATGAGACGGCAACAGCATTTGGAGATTCTGCCTCCTTTGCCATGGGCCTCCTGGGACAACTGTATTCAAAAACGGAGCGTGTTGGCCGTGCAACAGAAGCCTACAAGTGAGCACTCTGGAAAAATCTGATCGAGTTTTTGACAAGTTCTGTGCTGTAGATCATTGATGCAGGATGCTAGGTCATTAGGCTCGGGGACATAAAGAATAATGGACGTCCCACTTTCTCTTAAAAGGCGTCTTCAACCACTTTTCCTTGTAATTTTTGATTGACTTCAGCATCAGAGCTTATTGCTTCACAAATCAATCGGATCCATCAAGAATGAGCAGAGTTCCAGGGTGTTGTTGCACGATTTCAGTGATTCCTCTCCTCCTTGTCCCGACGGGCGTGCTGAATGCTACACAGGGAGGGATGGCGCTGTGCAATTAAGTTATGTCAGTGTGCGGCATAAAATGTAATTGCTCTGTTCTGTTGTGAATAGTATCGCATAAGTGTCGGTACTGTGGTCGCTGTGTAATGCTAGTAGGTCATAGAGTGTGGAGCCGACACATGGCCGTATCCCATAGCAAGAGGTGTACAGATCAGGATGCTGGTTTTGAATAATGTTGAGTTCTACACAAAGGCTGCTGCATGTCTATGCCGTTTAAATAACATTTTTTTCTGTGCAGATTTGAAATTCTGTCTGTATGTTAAATCTCCAGTTGCTCATGTTCATGTTAAGCAGAATCTATTTTTTTGTTCATATTAAGCATAACCTGGTCTTAATTTTTTTTATCCTGCAATGTCATCTTATCTTCATTTATCCTTGTTTTTGGCTCCTTGAAACTGTGGGAGTTAAATGCGAGTCTGCTTGAGAGCGACGAAAGCAAGTAGAGTTGGGTAATAATTTATAATACCTTGAAGAAATAATTCAAGCTCACTATTATTGTAGCAGTGGACGATGGTATTGAGGAAATAATGCCCATGCTTTGCTTCAGGATTAAATTAACTGAGCATTTTTTTGTTCTTAAAGAATACCTCAACAGTAAAAAAATGTTGTTAGGTAGATATGTAGTAATACTTTCATTATTTTGGTAAGCTGTAAGGGATTTAACAAAATTATTTCTCGGACAGCTTGCCTCTCACCTCTGTGGTGCTGTATTCCTGATCGCCTTCCTATCAATTTTCTAAAAACAGGAAAAGCCTGAAGCTCAACCCATTTCTCTGGTCCTCGTACGAATCCCTCATTGACCTAGGTATGTTTTCTTGAATTTCGTTGTGATCTTTGCTTGTCTAGGTAATTTCTATAACAAGCAATTTCGGTGATTGCTTAACATTGCATTATGTTGATTGCTTCATGTTGAAGAGCCATTGTGCTGCAGAGCTCATGGTTTTTGAGTTCAATGGAGGTTGTGGCATTTTCATTTTGATGATGCGAAATGCTAAAAGGAGTGTACACAATAATTAAGGTGTGTCAAAGAACTTCATGTCGGCATAACTTATAGGTAGCCCCCTCACTATGGTTTGCCTCCTAATTTTATCAGTTTTTCATGTAATATGTATTTATATTGTCTTAAAGAGACAACAAAGGGAAATATTAAGTCGATGTTGATTGCTGAAATAGCGGTTCAAAAACCTTGTAGTGCTACTTTTGTGCCCAGGAAGGGCTCATTTTGAAACAAAATCGCCTTTTAGTAGTTCGCAATGCGTTAGCGCACATTAAATACCCCGCCTGAAGTGGTTAGTCTCACGTCACTGTTGCCGATCGTACACAACGTTGCCCGGCTTTACTGCATGGCTGTCGAGACTAGCAGCAGCAGAGCGAAAGTAGGGGGAGCCACAGCAGCAACAATGGCCATTGAACAATTTTCTGTCATGGCCTCCGAAATGGTGGGTTGGTGCTTGGTTCAACTGGGCCCCGCTAGATGGCACCACCTGTCCAGGTTAACTAGGTGAAAGTGAAACTTTTGAACCACTCGTTCCATTTCTCATAGTAATGCTCGGCAGTTCTTTTTTTTAAAAATTAAACAGAAACGGACAAGCAGCATTTTATTACCCCTCTCGATGCACAGAAGTTTATTTTTTAATTCCTTTATATTTAATTAGATTGATTACTTTTGAGAAGCTGTAGTGGAATACTCTGATGCCATTTTTATCATTTCCAAAGTATCCCACTCGTAGGGCCCGTTGTGTGGTACATTTAGCTTAATTTCTTGGTAAGTAGGGCACTGCTATTGATACCCTTTTAGACATTGTCATACATCAAGCTTTCACTTTGACATAAATTGTTATTTGCCTTTGTGTTGCTTTAAACTGTGTTGGCCATGTACTGTTGAATGATTAAGCTTGTGTTCAACACCAAGAAATGATTAGTCTGTGGTAGCTCACAACTGAAGCATTATTTCATTGTTACCTTCTCTCTGGAAAACATCACGCTTTCCAGGCCTTAGAAGTTCTGTTTTTCTTCCTATTGCAGGAGAATCGCCAAACCCAACGGAAATATTTAATGTATCGTCTCTTGAAAACTTTAGTTTATGCCAAGGGAGCAATCCTCTTGTCAATTTTGTAAATAAGACCAGTATTGACAGCATCGCAGATGACATAAAGGTAAGGCTTGCATTTTTACCCATAGTGTTAATCTTGTTGGGCAACTACCAGACTAAAGTCATTAGAGGGGCACACACATTCACCCATAAACTGTGTGTTGGTCGCTTCTAATATGTACTGCTTTTGGAGGAAGAATACTGCCTTGTAGAATCTTGTTGATATGTTTTGTTTTGTGCGTTTTCTAGTGCCACCATCTGTAATCGGGGAACGGGGTAGGGAAGTGACTTAATTAAGTATTGCTTCTTTTTTTCCTTCTTAGTACGTACACAGAAAATGTTTTATTTCTGCACCACTGTTGCTTCTTTCGCCAAGCTCCAACTGTGTGATGCAGTTTTGGCTACTAGATCCGACTTAATCAATAAAAGTTGCAAGGGGCTTGTAACTGAGAGTATTGGTGGCTCTACGGTTAAGATGCTGTTAAAATGTGAAAACAGACCGTAGCACTGAACATTTCTGCTTTGGGAGAAATTGATCTGGTCATTTGTGGCCTTTTGGGCCCCGTTTTGGATACTGTAGCACTGTCATTTTTGGATAATACATTTTCATTTTTAATGAACACACCTGGGAATCGTATCAACGAGATTCTACTGCATTGGGTAGTAAGCAGACATTGACTGCAATTTGAACTGCTTATAGACCCATAGACCCAAGAGGTTCGCTTCTTTCTGTATGAATGCAACATATTGAAGTTGTCAACATCAAAATTACAATGTGCTGTGTAGTAAGGTAATTCAATATCTCTATCAATGTTTCACCTATGTGGTGAAGCAGTGACATTTCTTAAATTTTTGCATCATAATTTTTTTCATATTGTACTGTCGAACCCCGCTACAACAAAACTCACGGGATGCGGAAAATATTTCGTTGAAGCGAAACTTTCTTTGTAGGCAAATAAAATAATATAGCTGATCTGAGCTAGTAAAACAAAGGAATGTTTATTCTAAAAATGAAAAAGTGTTTGCTGCTTCCTAGTCATGCATTGCGAGGCCATGGTGAAAAGTACGCTGAAACAATGCCTACAACAGCTTTCGTGAACGTACCAAACAGTTGCATTGACACGTTAACACCAGCAACTGTCCGCCATCAAAGTGTATCCGACAACGCCGAGATGGAGGCAGGGTATCATGGAGCGGTGACTTTTGCCTTATTCTATGTCATTCTTATCATCCATCAATCGCGGCTAGCTGATTTCGTTGATAATGCAGACAAACAGTCGCTCTGATTATGTACCACACTGGCCAAGCGCGAATAAAATGATAAGCATTGGTATCTGAAAAGACATCGTTCCGCAGTTGCACCCAGTAGCTGCGTGTAGAAAACCATGAGCTGAGCGACTGAGCTTCAGATTCGGATCATCTTCGGCTCAAAAGCAAGCCAGTGGCAAAATCGGGGTAGTCTCATTGCCATCACTATCGAGCAATGAAGGCACCCATGCTTGCTGAACAGCGGCGGTTTCTGGTAGGGCCAACACGTGTTTTGTTGGCATATTTTCAGGTTCTGAAAATGCATCAAAATCTTAAATATAGGGTTCACTGTATAGCGATAAATATCTGAGCCTGGAATTGCATCGTTAAATTTCCTTGAAAGTGGGACGACAGAAAAAGAAGGGTTCGTTGTGGCGACAATATTTATGCATTGACTCCTATGGACTGCTGACGGGGTACCGTAAATTTTTCGTTGTGGCGGTGTTCAGCTGTACATTTCTTTTTCTCGCATTGTTTCCCAGAACAGGGTAAATGAGGTTCCAGTGTACGTGCTTCTTGCTGCTTTCTTTCTTTGTTGCTGAATTTCGGGCAAATACCAGATTCAAACGTACATTTATGAACGCAGAAGTCCAGTGTCATCGAGTACGTATTCTTGCTCTCGAAAGCCTTTCTGTTACCTATGTGCAAACTTGCTCCCAGTTTTGAGTTTCTACTTGGACTCAAGTTTTAAATTGTGTCCAGTTCTTGTTGCCGACATAGTAGCCACAATGACTTGTATTTAAATTGCCACTTTCATTGAATGTGGCAGTCCTTTGATGTCAGAAAATAGCTCTTGATGGCAAATATATTCTGCAGAATTGAACATCTAGCATTTGTTGATATGTGATGCTCAGTATATCTTTGTTTTATTCACTGTCCAGTCTGTGCTTTGAAACCAAAGGGGATGCTACTTGTCATCGTGCTTTCCTCCTATAAGCCTGCATTTTGCGTCTGTTTTAGAGGAGAGAGGCATGAAGAGGTAGCTACTTTAACCAGTGCTGAACAGGTTTGCTTGGTGGTACACATACTCTACCAGATGGTTATGAGTAAAAATGAGTGATGTATTTGGCTTTGTGTGACATGTATGGATCAGACACAACCACACTAAACGAACTAAGGTGTTTCAACGAGTCTTCATCATGTGGTATATAAGCAGCAGTGTTTTCCTAACCTTTTGAGAGCCTCTGTACCCAATTGTGCGTGCTAGTTGTTTTTGCAAATTGTGTTAACTTGTATCTTGCATGGAAGGAAAATTTTCAAGGTTTACATTACTTGAACCTCCTGCATAATAAATGTATTATTTAGCTTCATTTTGCATTGTACAGTTGCATATGATCGTTTTGCTTGAAGGCACCACCATGTTAGATGAGTCATATGACGTGCCACCCACGGCAAGCCGTGTCAAAAGTGTAATTGTTGTTTGCTCAGCACGGACGTAATCATAAACGATATTGCACTATATTTCTAGCCTGAAATTTGACTCTCGTTATACAAAAACAGAACATGGCTTACTGCAGATTGAATATAGGTCAATTGAGATTTAATACTATATAATACACAAATTAAAGTACTAGGACATCATTTTTGTTGAAATCGAGCATACTGTCTCTCGAAGCAATGTGTAAATTTGATGCAATCAAAGACTTTCTTCACAGGTGGCGTCTGAAAGGGTTTGTGAATAATTTGATATTCCGCCTTCCTGTCGTGCTAGGTGGTTGGTGGTCAGGGGACAGGTTTGGTCGCGCAAGCTGCGGGCAAGGTGTCTGTACTGCCACTGTCGACGGGTTCGACACCACCATCGCAAGCGCCACTGCTGGTCATGCGTTCAGCAGGGACGCCAGGCACGCCCCAGCAGTCATCGCTAGACGTCACCCCTCTGACCATCATGACAAGCACTCCAGAGTTACAGGCTCAGGAGAGCATTGCCAATATCTGCCTGGGCAGTAAAAGTGGCAAGCAAGCACAATCGCTTTCAGCTGTCAAGGGAGTACGCAATATTTTGGCAGGAGGAGCCGGAGCCCTGAGTCCACTTTCGGCATCGTGAGTGTCCATGCTCGCTGCACATTGATTCATTCAATCATTCGGTGAACGTTAAAGAACCGCAGGTGGTTGAAACTCTCAGAGCCCTCTACTAAGGCATCTCTCATAATCGTATCACTGTTTTGGGACGTTAAACGCCAGATATTACTATTCATTCATTCAATATGAGAACAGCAGGGTCCTTTGGTGATCCCAGTGTTCAGTTAGTTTGCAAAAGAAGAGCCTAGTGCTTTTTTTTCGGTTATAGTATACCTCAAAGACTCTGGTTGTGATATGACCTAACAAATTCTCAAGCTGTTGGGGACAAAGTTTTAACACCAATACAATGATCTTCACCAGTTCTAAAATAATGTAATTGGACATAGGGTTCAAAGAAGTTGAATGTTGGGAATGTTTGACAGATACGAAAACGGAGAGAGAAAAGGGGTCCATTCAGGGGTTGGGCTGGGGACTTCATTAAATTGAACGAACGTTTGGACAAGAGGACTTGTTTCTGTACTTGCCTTTTTTTTTGTGTGTGTGAAAGCAAGCATTACTCTTTCTTAAACATAGACTCCTGCCCAAGGCTTTTTTGTTTCACCTATCTTACTCGAGCATACAAAATACTGAATGTTATTGCTAGCACCAACACTAGGACAACTTTATCAGCCGAGTTTGTCTTTCTTGCTGTTGTTGGCTAAACTGTGGCTCACTTCCCTTTGTGCAGGTTTGGTGTGCTACCTTTGGTCAACTCCTCGCCTGGCACAGCACCCCCTACAGCTATTAGTGGCATGCTTGCCTATGTCACACCCACTTCACAAGGCATATTAGACACCATCTCCAAGGAAACTTGCCCTCCAGTCAAAAAGGTATGTACACTGCCCTTGGTATTGTTGCATGCAGGGCCTATGCACATTTGCAAACCTCTGAACATTTATTTAAGGTCTTGTACAACATAACTTCATCAGTCTTAAAGACAAATACAGTTTTTGAAAGTGTTTCATGTCCCAATCTTCAATGGCACTTTTGAAAGTATGTGGCAAGACATTAGATGAGTATGAAGTTGCCCAATATGAGCATCTCTATGCGAGCATTGTAGTGCATTCTTCCGGGAAGCTTATTCAGGCAAATGCTTGAAGAAAGTGGGATCTGCAACAGCTGCATTGTACAAAAAGTAACTGGGACATAAAAACAATGCAAGAGAAAATTTTGATATCACAGGGTGGGGGATAGAACCTTTATTAAGAATTGTTTATAATTTCAATGAAAAGTGACATTAAGGTTGTATATTATAAAGAGAAATATTTCCTTAAGTTTTTTCATTCATTATAATTTCTATATATACCCATTTTAATTGAGCAAACTGCATTTTGTTCCTTACAGCTGAAGAATCGTTATGCATTGCTAAAATTTCATGTAAGCACAACCATTCACTTTTTTTTTTTGTAAACGACGGACATTGCGACACTTTCGTCAGATGTTCTTGCAGTGGATTCGCAAGAACTTGCTGTGTACATTCCTCAAATACTACGAGTGCTTTTTGTGTCATTCAGCAAACTTCCTCCTTAGTTAGTCCCCAAAAAAAGAAGTCGCTGAGCGTCGAGACGTTCGCACACCAATTTAGAAGACCACCATGTTTTTACAAGCACCCTGGAAAATGTCTCCTAAATAACGTGACATGACCCACAACTTTTGTTGAGGTCACGTCGCTGATACTTCCAGTGACATAAATGAGACATGTAATAAATTCTTCAATTTTTCAGGAAGGATAAACTCATTGTTTCATTAAAATCAAGTGTTATAAATGTTGTAAACAATTGCTAGTAGGGAGTTGGTTTCCGCTCGCTCTGTAGAACGATATTGATCTAAACCCATCTGGCTCAGTTAAAGGAACTCGTTCGTTTTTTGTTCTTTTGCATGAGCTGTGTGGGAGCGCCATTTATTTGATATGCAGATTTGTCCCTGACATACAACGGGTCTGCCGTGACTCTGGAAACCACGCATAAGAAACATGCAAACTTCGGTGCCATTCAGAGTTCAAGTGTTTTTAACGTTAATCAATTTGCTTCTGCAGAACCTAGCGAGGAAACCTCAGGGACTGAACACTCCAAAGGTTCAAATATTCAGCCAGTCAAGTAACAACAACTTGCTGCAGACGCCACCAGTTCCAACCAGGTACACATGTGGCTGAAACCCTTCTTCTCCCCCCCCCCCCCCCCAACAAAGAGCTATGCTTGGACATCCTCCTGCTGCTTTCCTATCCTTGCACTTGTCTCCCGCAAGTAGCTGCAGTGTGAATGGCTTGGTAAAGTTGGTTGCACGTATATCTCTTTGGGGAAGGAAACGGAAAATGGCATACAAGCTTTTGTGAAGCCTGCTTTGAGCAAATAGTTAGGGTTGGGCTTGGTTTCCTGTAAAAACACTCGTAAAATCGGCCGCTACTTCTAGCATATTTAGCCGGTTTTTTTATTACTTATACACAGCCCATGGCTGACAATGACTGCTCACAGGTGCAGTACTCGTAGATTCAAACGCAATGTTATTTTTAGGGTGATGACTACTGTGAGCAATTGTGTGTGACAACCATGTCATGTCGCTGTAAATCTAGCTGCTAAAGGTAATGCTCGCTCTGATATCGAAATCAAGCCTATATGACACGAACTGTACATGCTGGAAGCAAAAGTATGTGCATTACTTAGCCCTAAATGTTCACCTCTCAATCCGTCAGCGCTGTACGTTACTAATGGCAGATAGGAGAAACATCTTAGCTGTCACTTCTTTGAGTAGCAGACATTGTCCTGATTGGGGGTGCTGTAGTTTCCAAGAAAATTAGCGGAAAACGTAGTGCCTGCTTCCGATTCTATTTCTAGAAATGTCATTTGCCAAACTTCACTTGCAATCCCCTACCTCGAGCTTTCATCAAAGAATCTCCATGACCTGCAGCGTCGTTTGTTTGCCCTGCAGCTTTCCACCCAGTGGTCTGAGCAGCGTGCGGCGCAGCTCGCGCCTCTTCAGCAGCTCTAACTCGGTCAAGGAGAACAACAAGGGTAGCTCGTCGCCCAAGACCATACGGAGTCTGGCCGCCCGGCTGCCCTCGTCCAAGAAGAGTAAACCCTCCCGGGGGGCTCTACGCACCAACACGACCACCTCCGGCTCCAACAATGCCAGCGCCATCACCGAGGGAGAGCTCAACGAGATGAACAAGCCCGAGCTATTGCCCGTGTCCCTGGCTCAGACTGCACTTTGCATGCAGAGGGCCTCTGCAGGCAGGCCACCCCTTTTATTTTACTGTGGAGCTGTTTTACTGTGCTGTGCCACTTTTCTAGTAGTAGTAGTAGTAGTAGTAGTAGTAGTAGTAGTAGTAGTAGTAGTAGTAGTAGTAGTAGTAGTAGTAGTAGGAAGTAAAATCTTTAGCATGTGCCCCCCTCCCCCCTTCTTCACAGTAAAGGATAATTAGGCAAAATTTAGAGGGGAGCCCTTTAACGGTCATGTGATCAAATTTCAAGATGGCAGCTGAAGCTGCTAAGAATACAGAATGCACTGCGGTGCTTCTAATGCTATGCTTTAATCAATACTGTAACATTCACTTTTTCATTCCGTCTTGTTGGGTGAGTAAAGTCAGTGAATGATAGTGATAGTGGGGGGGGGGGGGGGAAGGGAGAGAGAAAAGGCCGCATATTTGGAAATCTCCTAAAGAAGAAAAGGAGGGGGGGGGGGGGGGGGCTTGCTCGGGATTTTATGGTAGTAGCAGTAGTAGGCATCACGCAGGTCATGTGACCAAAGGAGGTAGGAAATTAAACTTTAAAGGTGATGCTAAATTATGGTGGTGACGCTGCTTACATTCCTGTGCAGCAGTGACAGTAAGTACATCTTTTAGGTAAGTGGGCAAGTGGAGTGGGCCACGGTTGCACTGAAGTGCTATTGTAGCATATCAGCACGGCTGTAAATGAGCGTATCACTATGCAGGATTGACATGGCCAAACCTGAAAAACAGGGAAACGACAAAGAAGTCCGAGTGTGAACTTTGCTGAAACTTGGAAGAAAAATTTAACGCCTTACAAAACTGGCCACAGCTTTTTTGTTCAATGGTTTTCACAGCATGAACAGGCTACTATTTCCTTTTTTTGTGTGCCGAATTTGTATGTTGATTGGTTATACTGGTGTTGCATAGCGTAGTTTCACTTGTGTATAAAGAAGAAGAGAAGGAAGGGCAGGGAGGCTAATCAGTCCAGGAAAGCTGGTTTGCTGCCCTACACTTCGGGATGGGAAAGGGGAGATCGAAATAGGGAGAGGAATGAGTGGGAAGAGAGAGAAAAACAGCGCATAACAGCATACACTCAAACGTGCAGTCCATCATGGTTGCGTGTTATGCGACATCACTGTCACAGCCGCTTATCTAAGTTAGTTTTTCTTAGAAACTTCAGGTATTCCTTGGTCGCTTTCAGCTGTAATGTCCTCTGTGGACGACATTGAAGAATAGATTTGACAGACATTCAAAGAATATTTTCTTTGCTTCAATAAGCGTTAGACATGCCATTTACAAACTATTTCAGCACAATATCTAGTCGATAATTAATGATGTCAGTTTAAAACAGAGTTTAAAACAGGAGTTTTCTTGGTCCCCTAAGGGACCATGTGGGACCACTGGCTGCCATAGGCAGTAATGCGTCTCGTCATGCTAAGAGAAGTTATAAACACAGTGTTAGCTTTCTTCTGCTCTAAAATAATACAGTTGAATCCCTTTATAAGAGACCCTGTTATAAGAGACAAATTGGTTTAAGAGTGACCAGTGTGCCTACAGTAAAATACAGGTTGATAAGAAAATGCATACGTGGTGCCCTGCTTATAAGAGCCACTTCATATAAGAGACGAGAATAGTTGCCCGGAGCATGCCTCTTGTGAAGGGGTTCAATTGTAGATTTATAGGAACCGAGAAAAGAAAAAGATAGCGTGGCAATTGCAGCGAGTGATGCGGTTGGCTCCACTTTCAAATGCATTCGCTCCCCGGCACGTGCGCATTCTTGCCTTCCCGGTTGCCTTCGCTTGCTTTGGGCAGTGTCCCAGCTTCTTCTTACTGGTTGCGTCAGGTTCTGTTTTATGGTGTGTTTAGGGTAGCTCAGTCCTCGTTACACCAACTGCGTGCGTTGTCAGATAGCTCCGCACAACTTATAAAATTGGGAACAACGTTCAGTATCATGCTATAAACTTCCGGCAACTATGGCTTGGCAAACATCGTTTCATCTTTAGGTTTTGGTGATAACAGAGACATTTTATTGACTTTTGAGGCAAGTGGCATCAGCTGTACAGTTGAGTGGAACGTGAGCTGGCTAATTGAAATTGTGCTTTTATATCCATTAAATGAACCTGGACTATGAAACTAGTCGAGGTACAGTATTAAATGGATCCTCAATACACGCGTAGTTCAAAAATATTTTGAAAGTGTTTCACGGCTCCTTTAAGCCAGGTCATCTTGACTTTTTGTAGCTTGCCCAAGTCGGTCAATTGCGACCATAAAATTTGATTCTAAATTGAGCTTGATTATAATCAAAAGCATGCTCTGACACATACTAGGTAAATCAACCCACTGGACGTTATGTTGCCAACTTTGTGCTCTCCAGTGGTGGTTAGGCACATGTCTTCCAACTGGCGAAGAGATCAATCTGCACAATCTAAAGAAATGAAGACTTTCCCGTTGCACTCAGTAATAATTTTGCAAAGCTTCCATTTGCTCAGTTCAGTTCATTCATTAGTCTTTTATTCTTGATGGTGGGTGCTGTCAAGGACATAGTCAGTGAGCCTTTTTCTTGGTTTTCTTATTTTAACCAAATAGATCTGTGTTCTCCTGCAAGTTGGTGAGGTACTGAGCAGTTTTTTTTAAAGAACACTAAAAGAAATAATGAATCGGTTTAGATTGATAAATTGTACTCTGGAAACATGAACATTGTTAATTCCACCATCATAGGTTTAATACAAGAGAAAATAAAGTTCAAAGTTCCATTTTTAAATATCGTGCCCAAATCTCAAGATGTGACGTCAATTTGAAAGTGTACTTGTCTCACTTCGGCACCATTGACTCCACAAAATTTCCTCAAACTTGGTATGTCAAAATATGTGACATCACGGCGTATGGTGCGGAAACTTCACTCTGGTGTTGCCACCCACGTTATCGTTTTGTACGCTTTCTTGCTTACTCAGCACTTTCTCGCCGCAAGCATGGTGTTTTTGGTACCGTGTAATAATAGTTCACTACAAGAATGATTTTTTCGCACTCCAGTGTCCCTTTATTCCCATCTAGCCAATTGTGGGTAGAGGGATTTGTGAAGTTACTGGGGTAGTGAGGAGGCACGTGGATGGCATTCTTTTGTACTACACGCTGAGTTTTTTTTTTATCAAGGAACTCTCCTAATGAGCTGTACGAAGCTATTGCTGTAACAGTTATTTTTGTCAATTCACTGTCTGTTGAGCTGTCGCTGAGCACAGCCGATGTGGTACACTTGCCAGGGTCAGCCTTATGCAGAGCAGTGCTGTGTGTTATAATTTGCTCCCTGTTCGCCTTCGTCGAACGGCAGCTGTGGGGCTCGGCTGATGACTAAAAGGTCGCGGGTTCGATCCTGCCTGCTGTGGTCCTATTTGAATGGAGGCGAGAGGCCTATGTACTATGTGACGGCGATTGCACGTTAACACCACATGGCCAAATTTTCTGAAGCCTGCCACTACGGCGTCTCTCATAACCATATACAGTCGAAACCCGCAATAACGAAACCCCGCAAGTACGAAATTCCCGCAGCAACGAAATATTTACGGATCCCCGGCGGGCGTTCATAGAAGCCCATGTATTACTTATCTCGCGGCAATGAAATGTTTTTGGACAGCGATCCCGCATTAACGAATTTTCTACCACGGTGCGGGCCTTATTTTACCCTACCACCAAAGGTTAACTGTCGAAAATATGCTCGTATGCGTGTATGCGCGCTCAAAATTTGTAAACGTCTGCTTTTGCCGCGCTAGCGTGGGCATCGCCATTTTTGTTTACTTAAGGGGGGACGCGGCTTTGGGAGCTGGCTCCTCCCTTTAAAAACAAGCGCACAAAAAGCAAACGTTTGAAGGTCATTTCGAGGCCCTTGATTGGCTGTGGCCGCCATGTTGCCTCAGCTAGCCTCGCCATTGGCCCGATGCTCACTCCGGGAGATCGTCATCTGCTGCTTGTGCGTCGCCAGGACATGGCTCTCGAAAATTGCTACTTCGTGACGTGTTCACTGCTCGATGATCATTTAAAATATAATTACACTTTAGTTAGGAGCAGTAGGCTGATGCGCGATCAGGTTACTAAGAGCGCGGCGCGTCATTGGAGTCGTCTTTAGCCCTCACTCGGCCGACAGTGAGACTGCAGGCAGGAACGACGCGCTGGCGCACTCATGGTGACGTGCTTCGTCGCAAGCAACGAAGCTGTAAGCGGCGGCACAGTCAGATTACTACGAGTGGCTGCACCGATGCACGATCAGATTACTAGCGGGCGCGCGGTCTACGAGCGCGGCGCGTCATTGGAGTCGGCTTTAGCCCTAACTCCGTTGACAGCGAGACTGCGGGCAGGAACGACGCGCTAACGCATCAAAAACAACCAGCGGGTTGTTTTGGATGCGCTGGACACCCTTCGCTCCTTCTTCAGCGCACATGATGACGACGTAGCAATGGACCACTCTTTCCAGTGCGAAGGGAGAGTTTTGAAGTTGTTGCATGGCTAGGGTCGGCAAAGTAAGTTGACCGACTGCTGGCAATAAATTTTCGTTTTGCTGGCCGTATCACTGTTTTTATGTCTCATACTCGCGGCAACGAGATTCTCGCGAAAACTAAATCTTTCGGTTTCCCCGGCAATTTTGTTATTGCGGGTTTCGACTGTAGTGTGTTTTGGGATGTAAAACCCAACATATGATTATTATTATTATTATTTGCTGCCTCTTATTGCTGATTATTTGTGCAAGTCATGTACCACGGTATGACTTCCACTGTCCAATACATGCATCAAGTTAGAAGTTTGTCTATTCAGAGTGCCTTGAAAGTGTAAACATTTACATAAAATTGTCATTTTTAGTGTTCAGAAAGCTTGAGTCACCACTGAGGTCCGAAATCACGTCGAGCAACCAAAGAATGTGCTTCTGTCTCACATGTTGCAGAGGGCCTGATGCAGCTGCTACAAGACCTGGGGAAGGCACGCCTCTACCTGGGTCAGTACAAGTGTCGGCAAGCCATCGAGACTTTGGAGGCCCTTCCACCCCATCAGTACTCAACAGGATGGGTTCTTGCTGCCTTGGGCAGGGCGCATTTCGAACTGGGAGAGTACGACAAGGCAAGCATTGATTATGACCATAATGCTGACTGCAGCAATGTTTTCATTACTGCGCTGTGTATCGTTGCTGTTGCATTGGCTTTGCTGTCCTCACAAAACATTTGAAAAGGTGCTGTATGAGCGTGAAATAACACTTAGTAATGATAGTTGCTTCAAGGGGTAGTTCGAATTAGGGGCAGTGCAAGTTGCCTAGGTGGTCTTGATTGCCTTGCGTTGGAGCTTCAACGGCTCAGAGTCCACAATAAATTGCAGGCATTCCATGCTAACTTGAGCTTTGTGCATTCCCATAGGTCGCACTATTCTGTATTTTTTCTTTATTCACCAGACATTCCAAAGCGTCCGAAGGTGTTACAGCAGTGAACATACAACATTAAATGAAATACATCTTTTTTTGCACAAATAAAAAGTTCGGTCACATATGAATAAACCTTTGTTCGCGTTACAGCATGGGGTTACAGCATTGAATAAACTGCAACTTCATTCGCACAATGTACTTTTTCTGTTCAGTTAGCCTGTTCCACTCTTTGATTATTTTAGAAATAAATGAGTTGGTATTTTTGACGCTTGTCATGAAATCCTGGTGTCACCTTAGGACAATAAACAGAGCTAGTTATGTAACTTACTGGAGTTGGTTGTTTTAACTGTGGACTTCTCTGGCTGTATAGATGTCTCTCCCGAATTGGTGAATGTTTCATATTGTGAAGGTTGCTGAAGGCTTCACATGACTTCATAGTAGCATATGGATAAATGGTGATGTTGCGTCATGTGCTCAGTTAGCATGACCGAGTTTCATGCAGGTCTTGTTATCAGTGACCGATTTCGATAGCAGCATCTTCGTATGCGAAAAAGCAGGTGCCGGGCGAGTGCAGAAATGCAGCCTTCAAAAGGTGTACAGAAAAATACGTATTTGTATGCATCGTTTTCCAACGACTGATGTTTCTTATGTCGCGGTCTGATCTTTTATTGAGCTCGCTTGTCGTTTCATGTTGCCACTTTTCATTGTCGCCTGGACATGAACATGACCTCACGTCAGGCACTAGCGCCAGAACACAAGTGGTAAACGGTCCCTGCCGTGGCTGTAGGCAGGGATGCGCAAGAGAGGCTCCACCCCCCTCAAGCCACGCTATCACTGTACCTGAAGCCCCATCACCAGGGAAAATTTCAAGATAAACAAATTTTTGAGATAAGCGAAGTTGTTCTAATTGCCTGAAAAAATGAAAGCTTTTCAGAAAAACGCTACTACTTACCATCTCTTCAGTGACAGTTTTCAATCTTCTCGTTGCAGGTTTAAAAGAGATAAAAGTAACATACTAGAGACTTTAACTGGCTGGGATTTGCCACACTGCCATCTTATTTAGTAGAGAAAAACGGTCTAATGCTTGTATGCTTTGCAGTTGTTCTCGGGCCTAGCGAGGAGTCCTCCAGCTACTTGACAAAGGGTTGCTTGACAAAGTTGATATGTCGCTGGGCTGAGACATCGCGCTTGTCACGTTCACGGAAAGTATCGACATAGTGGCAGGCATAGCTAAATAAGAAGGAAAAATTGGCGGACTTCAGGCGTAGCCGTATCATTCTAATCTCTTGAAATGGTCCGGCAGCGTAATTTTCGTTCCAATTCCAGTCTAGATCTTGAGTTGATCCGCAATCCGACCCAAAAATACCTCAAGATAAAGCGAGAAATATTCATTGGACATATAGGAAAGTGTTCGGTGCCATGAAAAATTTCAGCTTAGCCGATTTTTCGAGATATGCGAGTTTGAGTTAATGAGGTAGTATTACTGTAATTGCTTTCTTTCTTTTCTTGTCTGGCATTTGTACTGGAGCCTAACCAGGGAAGGATGGCTCGCGGGACGGAAGTTGTCACATGTATGTCATGACCGTGAGCACTTTTTCTCATCTTTCTTCAAACGCACGGATTCCAAGTGGGGGGCCCTTTAAGTACGCTGTCAACTGTGCAGGCGTGCCCTCGTGTCACGCCCGTAACCACTCTGCGCTGTTCCACTTCTGCCAGGGATAGAAAGACGGAAAGAAAGAAAGGCGAAAAAGTAGTTGGTCAGCAGAGAAAGTGGAAGCTCCTAATTTTTTCATGCTAGCGTCAACTGTGCTACAGTGATTTTGCCTGAGAGACCACACGTGGATAGATACCCTCTTTTTCGTGTAGGCTGTCCGTGTCTTCGAGACTCTCCGGTCCCTTGAGCCACACCGGCTACAGGGTCTGGAGTACTACAGCACAGCACTTTGGCACCTGCAGAGGGAAGTAGGCCTCTCTGCACTCGCTCAAGACATGATGGAGTTGGACAAGACAGCACCAGAGGTGCGTGATCATTATGTATTCATTTATTGATTGCTACTGTTGAACCGACCATGGGTCATTACAGAAGAGGAATAAACACAGAGAGAAAAAAAAGTTCATAATTTCTTTACAGGATAGAAAAATAAAAGCAATACAAGTGCTGCAGGAAAAATAACACAGCATATTGCACAACATTTCTGCCTCCATCGGAAATGCACCTGCCGCAGCCGGGATTCGATCCCGCGACCTGCGGGTCAGCAGCCGAGTACCTTAGCCACTAGACCACTGCGGCGGGGCTTGTGCTTGTTTTTCAGCACCGTCAAAACTGTAGACAAAGGGATGCCGAATTCTCGCACGATGCTCGATTTCATTCGGCCTTTTTTCTTCACTTCCTTAATTAGGGCAACCTTTGTTTTCTAGCATTAGCGACTTGCACTGCTTTGACGTTATGCTTGCTGCACTCACACCTAGTGTCCGCTTATCACAGTCAGCGATGAGTTCGTACCGCTCGGTTTGCACAAGATGAACGGAAATCACACTTCGGGGTGAATCATGTGCACTGCACAAAGCGAACGAGGCAAACTACGCCAAGTGTAGGCAGAGGGCTTCTGCTCAGCGCATGTGTCACATGATGTGCTACAGGCTTGCTTGACAAAGTTGAAATGTCTCTGGGCTGGGACTTCGCGTTCGTGAGAAGCATCGACATAGTGGCAAGCGCGGCGGCTAAATAAGAAGAAAAATTGATGGACTTCAGGCGTGGCAGCATCGTGCAAATCTTGTGAAATGGTTCGGCAGCGAAATTTTTGTTCCACTCCCAGTCAAGATTTCGAGTTATTCGCAATTCAATCCCAAAAATACTTTGAGATAAAGGGAACAATATACATGGAACGTATAGGAAATGTTCAGTGCCGCGGAAAATCTCAACTTAGCTGATTTTTCGAGATATGCGAGTTCGAGTTAATGAGGTATTACTGTATTTCTTTATTTGAACTGCTGTCATTACATGTAATATGACCACGCTGCCATTGAGACACAAATCGACATCCTTCTTGTGATGCGTGTGGTGTTCCAGCTAATTGTCACACCTTTGCAGTAAAATGAATGCAGGGCTTTATCGAAGGTTTGTCTCGCATTTCTAATTTGATAGTTTATAGTCTGACAGCATGGTGGTTCACTACTGTCGTGTCTGTTGAGCCTGGCTGTGCTATCTGTCATGTTATCTGAGCGGCTGTTGTTTTGTGCTGCTAAGATCAAAAATGCAGGTTTCACTTGACGCTGCAGTGACTGTTCAAAGGGAGTAAAATGCAACAGCGCTCGTGTGCATACTCTGATTTCATCATCATTATCATCATCAGCCTGACTACGTCCACTGCAGGACAAAGGCCTCTCCCATGTTCCGCCAGTTAACTCGGTCCTGTGCTTTCTGCTGCCAATTTATACACGCAAACTTCTTAATCTCATCTGCCCACCTAACCTTCCGTCTCCCCTAACCCGCTTGCCTTCCTTGGGAATCCAGTTAGTTACCCTTATTGACCAGCGGTTATCCTGTCTACACGCTACATGCCCGGCGCATGTCCATTTCTTCTTCTTGATTTCAACTATGATATCTTTAACCCCCGTTCGTTCTCTAATCCACTCTGCTCTATTCTTGTCTCTTAAGGTTACACCTACCATTTTTCTTTCCAATGCTTGCTGTGTCGTCCTCAATTTAAGCTGAACCCTCTTTGTAAGCCTCCAGGTTTCTGCTCCGTAGCTAAGTACCGCCAAGATACAGCTGTTAAATACCTTCCTCTTGAGGGATAGTGGCAATATACCTGTCATAATTTGAGAGTGCTTGCCAAATGCGCTCCACCCCATTCTTATTCTTCTAGTTACTTCAATCTTGTGGTTCGGCTCTGCGGTTATAACCTGCCCTAAGTAGACATAGTCTTTTACAACTTGAAGTGGACTATTATCTATCTCGAAGCGGTGCTCTCTTCCGAGGTTGTTGTACATTACTTTCGTTTTCTGCAGATTAAATTTAAGGCCCACCCTTCTGCTCTCCTCGTCTAACTCCATAATCATGAGTTGCAATTTGTCCCCTGAGTTACTCAGCAAGGCAATGTCATCGACAAAGCGCAGGCTACTAAGGTACTTACCATTAACTCTTATCCCTAATTATTCCCACTCCAGGCCTCTGAAAACCTCCTTTAAGCACGCGGTAAATAGCATTGGGGAGATTGTACCCCCTGCCTTACACCCTTCTCGATTGGTATTCTGTAGCTTTCTTTATGAAGCACTGTGGTAGCAGTTTGATTACCTGTAGATTTCTTCCAGGATGTTTATATGTGCTTTATCGATGCCCTGATTCGGCAGTGTCTGCATGACTGCTGATATTTCTACTGAATCAAATGCCTTCTCGTATTCTATGAAGGCTATGTATAGTGGTTGGCTATATTCTGAGCATTTCTCTATTACCTGAATGATAGTATGAATGTGGTCGATTGTTGAGTAGCCTGTTCGAAATCCTGCTTGTTCCGTTGGTTGATTGAATTCTAATGTTTTCTTAACTCTGTTAGCAATTACCTTTGTAAATAGCTTGTATACTACAGAGAGTAAGCTGATCGGCCTGTAATTCTTCAAATCCTTGTCATCTCCTTATGTACTAAGATGATGTTAGAATTCTTCCTAGTCTGGTACTCTTACCATCAGGAAACATCTCGTAAACAGGGTGGTTAGTTTTTCTAACACAATCTGTCCTCCATCTTTCAGCAGATCTGATGTTACCTGATCCTCACCAGCAGCTTTACCTCTTTGCATGCTCTCCAAGGCTTTTCTGGCTTTTTCTATTATTACTGGTGGGGTGTTATCTGGGTCACTGCTAGTTCTTATAGTATTAAGGTCGTGGTTGTCCCGGCTACTGTACAGATCTTTGTAAAACTCCTCCGCAATTTTAACTATCCTATTCATATTGGTAGTTATTTTTACCTTCTTTGTCCCTTAGTGCATACATGCGATTTTCACCTATCCCAAGTTTCCTCTTCACTGCTTTGACGCTTCCTTCGTTTTTCAGAGGGTGTTCAATTCTCTCCATGTTATACATTTTTACATCGAATACCTTATGCTATTAATCAACTTCTAGAGCTCTGCCAGTTCCATTTTGTTGGTTGTACTTGAGACTTTCATGCTTTGACGCTTCTTACTGAGATTCTTCGTTTCCTGGGAAAGCTTGCCAGTGTCCTGTCTAACTGCTGTGCCTCCAACTTCCACTTTACACTCCGTAATGGTACTAGTCATATTATCATTCATTGTATCTACGCTAAGGTTGGTTTCCTCGATAAAAGCAGAGTACCTGTTCTGAAGTGAGACTCTGATTTAGGTGCACATTAATGGACTCGACAGTCATAAATGCTTCACAGCTCCTTACTACTGTGTGCCTTGTAATAGTACTGGGTACTTCCGTCACGTGAAACAGCTGAATCTTTTGTGTGTCTCTCTCTATGTTCAGACATGCTGTGCGGCTGGCAACTGCTTCAGTCTGCAGAGGGAGCATGAGACAGCAGTGCGCTTCCTGCAGAGGGCTGTACAGGCTGACCCAGACTTTGTCTATGCATACACGCTGCTTGGCCACGAGTTGGCATCCATGGAAGAAATGGAACCGGCCCTGTCTGCCTTCCGCAATGCCTTGTTGGTCAACCCTCGTCACTACAATGCCTGGTACGCCCAAGAGTTGTAATAGATGTGTGCTTTAAAGACGAAAGAAGTTTGAAAGAAAACGAAAGCTTTTTTGGTGTTGTTGAACGTGTGTTTATTTTTTTACCATGTGAGGTAAAAGTTGGTAGCTGTAAGATCAGTATTTCACTCACAGTGTAATATTCTACTATCCGTTTCATTTTTTTCCTACAGTCTTCAGAAACTATAAAGTGGCAGCTTTGTCTATTTGCTGACGTAGTTGACCTGCGAGGAAAGAGATTGGGAAGTTGCAAGCAGCTTAAAAGATTAAAATAAATTAATTAAATTTGACCCTAAATTGCGAGAAAAACTGTATTTACTCGTTATAAGTGTACTCGCATAATAGGCGCACCTCCAGTTTGTTCACGAGAAATCAATTTTTGTTTCCGCGCATAATACCGTAAAAACCTGCGTTATAGCCCAGGGTTTCTTTTTTAAGATTTTACTATTCAAAATTTCTTCCCCAGACTATATGCGTATCTCAAGAATTTTTGGCCCGAATTCGTTGTTTTGGTTTTGGCAAACGCGGTGCTCTCATCATCACCAGGTGTCTGCATGCTTCTGCAGTAGGTAGCATTAGTGACGTTAGTCCAAAGTTCTACAGGTGCTACAGGCATGCAACAGTGGCCATTGCAATTACTCGGTGCACATAACAACGACCATGATTTTACCTTTGTGACTTCAAGCCATGCGAGCTCTGCGAAAGCAGTATACGGCTGCCTTTAAAAGAAAGGCTATCTTAGTTGCTGAAACCATCAGTAACTGTGCTGCGGGGCGACAGTTCGGCGTGGACGAGCGGTGTTTCCGCGGCTGGAGGAAGCAGGAAGGAGCCCTCTTTGTGTGCAGCAGCCAGCGAGAAAGTTTTCGGGGGCCGAAACATGGAGCTCTCGCTGAAATTGAAAAAGAGCTGGCAAACTGTTCGGGAGCAATGGGCTTCACATCTCGCTGTCAACATCGAGCTACTGCTAGCAAAGGCAAAGAAAATCGCGCCAGGATCTAAGCATTCAGCTGGCGGTCTTCAAGGTTAGCAAGCATAGGGTGTGCCGCTTCATGCGCCGTACTGGATTCTCCCTAACGTTGATATCACGATATCACAGAAGCTGCCAAAAAGCTATGAAGAGCTGCTTGTGGGTTTTTCAGAAGCACATAATTTCCTTGCAAAAAACAGTCTCCTTTCAGGTGGGCCAGATCAGAAACGCTGATCAGACGCTTGTGTGCCTCAATACGCCCGTGCTCTGACAGTTCACGAAAAAGTTCATGCAACATTTGCGCGAGGTACTGCGCAGTGCTTTCGTCAGTTTTTCATTGCAAGGAAAATGACGGAGTGGCTGGAGCAGCGCTACTACATCAAATTTTGCCAGAAGCAAGGCGACAGCCAAGTGGAAACCATTTGGAAGATCAAGACAGCTTTTGGTGACACTATGAGCCGCACACTGACTAAGGAGTGGTACAACTGGTTTAAAGACGGCCGCACATTGGCAGAGAGCAAAGTATGCTCTGGTCGGCCATCAACATGCTGAAATGACCCGTTCATTGCCATTCATTGAACGCTTTGGGGATGCGGGACTGTCGTGTGACTATCCGAAAAATTGCGGAAGAGGTGGGTATCAGCACTTCCTCTGCACATTCCATTATGACCAAAGATTTTGCCATGAAGAGAGTTGCGGAGAAATTGGTGTGGAAACTGCTCACGGTAAAGCAAAAGCAACCCCGTGTTAAAGTCTTGCAGGATAGCACAGCAGGACATGCTGGATTTAACAAGTAGGGACCCTAACTTTATTAAGGGAGGGCGCGGCAAGTAACGTGCCGATTTTGGTCAAAATATGCGATTTTCTTATTTATTTTTTTTCGTAATCTTCAGACTTTCAACTTCCTTGTTCTAAAATATTACAGGGAAACGTGCGCTACAAATCCCGCAAATAGTGTTTTTGCCGAGGCTAGTCGCCAAAAAGTGCGAAAAAAAAGCCCCTGAAACGGTGTTCACGCCGCGCAAACGCGCCAAGTTGTTGACCGTAAGCCACCATTTTGGTAGCTTTGGAAAGAGGAGAAAGCCGGCTTCCCGATGGTCGCGGTCTCGTATTTCGCCGAGTGAAAATAAAAGCGCGAGGAGCAAGTAAAAAAACGAAAACAAAGAACGGCAATTGGCTGCGCGGGTCATGTGGTAGCAGGCGCGACATCTTACTGGTCAAAGTTGCGTCGCGCACCTTGGCAACCTTGGAAGCGCGAGCGCATCTGCGGCCGCCGCGCCGAGAATCATCCGGCGTGCGCTTCGTTTTTTGCCAGTTTGCTGTTTTTGTGATAGTTCGCGTGCTTTTTTTACCAAGCTTTGTTTACATCGGTGGTCTCTTCTGAGTGCTTGCTCATACTGCGGTGCTATGTTGCCGCAAAAAAAGTTCCGGAGCGTCCACAAGTACGGCAAGCGTCGGAAAGCTTGGAACAAAGGGCGGACGACTGCGGCTGCCGTCCCAGTCGCAGTTCCGGACGGAGCATGCTCTTCAAGCGTCACGGAGCCTCTACTCAGACCCTTCGCTGATTGTTGTGAGGCCGAGAGTGTGGAAGGTGCCACATCGTCATATGTCGGACCGCCGGATGCCGTTGACCGTGATGGACGCTCTCGCGAACCTGATTGCGATGGCACCGCGTCGGCAGCCGTTGCAACTCCGGGTGTTCGCGCGTCGAACATTCTATCGCGAGTTTCGGCCCAGATTCCGAGCAGTGAAGAAATCGCGCAGCGGGCGCAGACAAGGCGGGATGTTTTGGATGCCGTAGCATCGAAGTCCGTTTCAAAGCGGAAGCTCGAGCTTCTGAACGAAGGCTGCGACGAAAATGACGGTGGTAAAGACTCCACATTCTTCATTGTAAATAAGAAGATGCTGAACGGTCTGCTTTCGTCAGCAAAGTGCAACAAGTGCGATGAAGGGTCGATACGCCTTGAGACTACGCACTGCCTTGGACTCGCGGCGAGGATGTAACTTTTTTGTGACAATTGTGGCATAGTGAACAGTGCGTGGTCGTCCCCGAGGTGCTCCAAAAACAAAAAACGAACCCCTTTGAGGTAAACGTGTGTGCTTTGAGGGCTGTGCAGTCAGTTGGCAGAAAACAATCTGTCATAAACGACATTTTTTTCTGCGATGGACATTTCGCATCGTGCACTGCACCACAAGTCCTACCAGAGACTGCAAAGGAAGTACAGCTACCCTGCCACCACATCAGCTGCCACCCACATTGAAGCAGAAAGTTCACAGAAGGTGCATGACATTCACAAGGGCCTAGGAGGAGTGCCAGGCAACATTGACATCTGTAATGGTTAAAGAACGTTCGTCACTATGTTTGTCGGTAGCGGACGAAAAAGGATGAACATCAGCAATTGATGCGAACAAAAGAAGCTTTATATTGCACACTAGAGAAGGAAGTGACACTTTTTTGTTGATGAGCTGCGCGAACCAATGGCTCTGCGCCTCCTGCGCGGAGAACACGCTCCCAAGCATCTGCAGCAGCCCGATGAAGGCCAGCGTCGAGTGCGGTAGGTGCGGCGGAAACACCTACTTGTACAGGCACACCTTCTTCTTTTCGGTTTTGTGCACTTCCTGGTCCAGGAATGGGAACGTCGCAGTTTGGGTCCCCGTCGTCCCGACATGACGCGGTCGTCAACGTGCGCGAGGACAAAGGTGGCACGGCTGGAACGGCTGACCGCACACGGATGCGCTACCGTGTGCAGCGCCGTTGAATCGGACGTCGCGACCAACCCAGCAGCCTGGTCGCAACTCCCGAGGTCCAGGATCAGGCCACGGCTCACGAGGACCACACCCGGTAGGCCTCGCCCACGAACCTGCTCCCGGCCACTGCACCCAGGCAGGAGCCGTTCAGCAGGCCCCGTCCTTGGACCTTGTACAGGCCGACGGACTCGACCTCGAACCGACGCACCGGAGCTGGCCGACTCGTACGGGTCCCACGTCCGGCTCAGTAACGCTGCCAGGAACTCGTCCTCTCGAGCGGCGCACCGCTTCTCGGTACGGCTCGCACCGCTGGTGATGCTCGATTCAGCCAGCAACTCCCCTGGCACCTGGATCCTCGGCCACCCTGGACCTCGCCCGGCTTCGTGGTCCTCTGCGCACACGCCCGCGTCTCGCCCGGCAGAACGTCTCGCTCGTCCCTTGCCGATGTGCGACACTCTGGTGACACCGGCAATTGATGGCATGGGTGCGAATACTGAGCAGTCAACCCGCATCGGAGACGCGATGCTTCATGCGGGGAATGGCCAGCCCGTCCAGCGAAGAGCGTGCGCCGAGACGCGATGCTCGACGCAACCGTGACCATTAGCCAGGCCACGTTCATCGCTGTGTCGAACGGCTGACCGTGGAGACGCCTCGCCGAGATCCGCGATGCCCTCGGCAAGGAAGAGAACAGCAGGCCAGGCCGCGCCCCGAGATGCAGTACTCGTGCCGGCAATGCCGCCCCAGCTGGTGGTTGGACGGCAGCAGCGTGGACGGCCGCGTTCCCTGGTCGGAACCTGGATCGCCTGCATCCGACGCTTCGGCCCGCTGTCTCCCGTCTGCCGCTGCTCCGGCTCGTCCCCAGCCACACAGCCTACTGCCACGTAATGGTCACCCGTGGCCCAATCGTGGCACACCACCTCTATGGGCCACCACTGGTCATCAGCTGATTGACGCACAGTTGCCTCGTAATCGCACGTGCCTTCTCCTTCTCTTCTTCATTTCTTGTTGTCGCCTTCGTGCCACCTGCCCTTCCGCTCGTCTTCTTCAGTTTTGGTTTGCCGTTCCTCGGCGTCTTTAAGTCTTTTCCTTATAACGTCATTTACGACGGCACGTGGATGACGAGTGGGCACAGAAGTCATATTGGCGTGGGCTGTTAATCGAGCTGTACACAGGCTTGGTCTTGGACCACTGTGTCCTGTCCAACTACTGCCAAGGCTGTGCTGTTGGCCCCAAGCCTGGTGACGACTACTATGAGAAGTGGCTTGAGAA